TATACACGACGGCATGTACGTATAATGCTCCATAAAGATGCAAATAGGTGATTTCATTTCGGAATGAGAAATATCGAGTATCGCAGGGGCGTGAAAAAAGGGCACGAGTCCGACTAACCAACGCACCCTTCTCCAAATATTCAGGTTATACAGGGGGTGCGTTTCACGGCACTCTGCCTTGATTGATACGCTATCCTCTGACAGGGGATGCCGAAGGGCAGCCAAACCTGCTGGCCCTACCGGGACTAAATTGTTAATTAATACCTCGCTAACTAGAACTTCTCGATGATCCTGATCACCACGTCAGGAGATGTAGCCGTTGACGGTAGGTTTTTATTGGATCCTCATCAAAGTCCTGGATAAAAATAAAATTGAGTTGAAAAAAAAAAGTAAAGCAGGGTAGAAACAGGGTATGCAAAAAAAGTAGATACGCGGGTAATCCACGTATGAAAGGTTCAAATGGATGTTAAGGTCGACAGAATGGGAGGATGTTGGCTTTTCTCCTCTTTCATTGGCAAGAGCAGCCTCGTACTACATAGGTGTACTTGATGTGTGCGCATAAAAGGTTACCTAGCTACACATATAGTCATGGACGTATATTCGTGGGAGCTAAAAGGGAGCTACTTCTCTCTGGTAGTGCACATACCTTAAATATTACTCGTGACCCGGACACTTTCATTTCCTAGATTCCTCGACTCAAGAAATATCATTCCAGGAAATTATAGTCAAAGCGCATGATACATAAATTTCAGTTAGCGATAGCCAAAGTTTTTGAGGAATTAAGGGCGGATGCGAGATCGCTGCCTGGTAGTAGAAGCTGTTGCTACAATTCGATGAGTCAAAGACAGGGAGGATCGGAGCGTGCAGAAGATTCGCTAGGTGTCTGAAGTGAGGTTAGGTCAGCTCGATTGGTTCGGGGTTCAGTCGAGAGGAGCGTTATGAGCATGGGGTTGGAAGTATAGAATATATTTGGATCGGGGCAGCGGATGAGAGTGGTCCTTTGAAGGGGTTGGAAAATGGGTGAAAATTATGATCGAAAGGACCTCGAGGCCTCCGAGCACATTTTCGGCTGTCCTCGGTGTCTTTCGCGGCCGCGTAAGGCTGTATTTAAGTACAGGAAAATTCGTGGTCCTTATTTTATCACGCCCCTGAGAACCCCTAGGAAAGCCCGTACCACCCCTATTGCGGCTCCATTTAAATAAAGGGAACATTTTAGCGAGATTAGGATAACGTAGAGGGTGCCAAGCGGTTCTGTCCTGCAAATTCCCCGAGCACCGACCCTCGCGAGGTTTCCCAACCGCGAAGAAGGGTAGCTTCCACCCTTAGTCACTACTCACTCTCCCTCCAGGGCTTTCACCGGTATGGAGCGCATCCTCGTCCTTTGGATCTTGCGGCGGGCAGTCCTTTTCTTTTCTTCTCCTATCTACTCGTCATTCTCTCGCGTCCCTAACAGAAGGACGGAGCGGACTACGTAACCTGGCTACGTGTTCCTGTAGCTTCGGCAGTCCAGGTTAACGAGGACTTTGGGAAACCTAGTCGCCCGTCGTGCCTCGCGGGAAAATGGGATAGGGGAAACCTGGTTTGGCACCTACGCAATTTCCTTCATGAGCATCGAATTTCCGCAGGATCCCCACACCATCCGTAAACCCAATCCTGAAGCGCCCAGCTGGGGTACTCGGCGACGACGGTATACCCGTTGCCACCCCCACAGAGCAATTTCGTTAGTAAACCGAAGCCAGCCGGCATCCTGGCCTGGTGGAACGACTTCAGATTTCAGATTTCGTGGGAGAATTTCAGTGTCAAATTTCCCCAATGGACTTATTCCTTCTTTATCCTCCCCTTCTTCTTCTTCTTCTTCTTTCTCCTTCTCGGTCTCCTCTTCGCGCAAGGAGACAGAGAACAACGCAGCACACCAGAAAGCAAAGACAAGGCGGGCCTAGTTGCTTCACGTATTAAGCCGACAATCTCTCCCGTAATGAAGAGGAGGAGCACCCCTGGGAACCCCTACGAGGATGAGGATGAGAATGAGAATATCCAGAGAATTGTGGGCTTTCCCTAAAAGCACGTTATTTTCCCTCGTTCCTAATTAAGCGAACGTACGAATTTTTTTCATTGAGGACAACAGAGGAGAATGCGCGGCTTTCCTCCGTTTATAGAGTTGATAAATTCTCGCTCGACGACCCGACGGCTGGGTGGCTTGCTGACTACCGTAATTTTCTAGAGTGTCCTCTCACCGTCCTCCATCTACGGCAACTAGAAGAAGAAGAAGAAGAAGAAGAAGAAACTCTAACGATGCAAGATCGTTTCTCAAAATTGCAACGTGCAGAAATATTTCACGAGATTAACTGGTAGAATGTTCACGGTAGATTATACGGCTGGTGTACGTACCAGATATCGGCAGGGGTTGAATCCACCCTGTGGCAATTTCTAGTAATGCTCCGCAGAAAGGTGAACCACGAAGAAGAGATGGTGATTCGCTCGAGGCATCGACGGAGAAGGTGGGTGCACGTTAAAAAGACGCCATAAATTAGCCGGCGTTTCTGCAATTCGGTAAAGTGGTGCCGTCTGCTAGTCCCTCCTGCACATAGTCCTGCGGTGGGACTAGGTGCGACTGAAGAGGACAGAGACTCCTCACCAAGGAAGCATTGCAGTCAGCTGCAGAATTCTATACCCCAGCTCCCTCGAATGGTCTCAAAAGTTTCAAGCCCCAGTGTGCCATCTAAGTACCGCTACTCCGACGGCAGCGCTAGTACTCCCTGGATCCTTGTACGGTCCTCCTTCAGCAGCTATCCATCCGCTGGTGGCCAGAAGTGGAAACCTGAAGTTCGGAGACGTCACTGATTAACGTTCGTTTCCATACGAGTATTCGAACACATTGATATCTATTGTACTGTGGACAGCCCTATTGGAGAATACACCCACGTTACAGGTACACGTAGACGTAAGTCAGGGTGGTGTTGGATGGAAACCAAAGAACATGTGAACAGGAGGAATACGCGGACCGCAGGGATGAGAATATAGGACCGTCCAGCTCGCAGCAAGAGATATTTCCGGCGAGCCATTGTTTTCCAGGGTGCACAAATGTTTTTGTATTCAGTAGATCGAAGCGGGTTTCATTTTGTCACTGGTTCCCGTTCCCATTCACGGTCAAATTTCATTTAGCTCAATTTCGTGCTACCAAAATTCAATTTCATCGGAAACTCCAAAAGCGCGAACACAAACTTCCTGAACGAGCAGACGGTGGTAATGATGTGGCGTTACCTGACGTATACCTAAAGGCAACGTTTTGTGTACGTTTATATATAAAGCTTTACGTTTCTCATTTGACATTACTGACTGAGAAACATTAGGTAGCTCTAGAGATGGTGTTGTATTGCGCATCCTGAACGTACCATATTTTACTATCTAAGCTATGTACGGCTATGATACTCTGAAGGAGGTTGACAAGCAAAAAATAGAGAGAGAAGGCGAAAATGCAATGGAAGAGGTTCAAAGGTCGCGGGACATAGAAATGTTCCAGATAATAGAAAATATTCAAGGTACAAGGCTGATGAAAAATGGGAAATTCAGTAACGTCGTGGACCAGTGGTTGCCTGGACTTTTCATGATAGCAATGCTTAGCTTGCTGATAGTAAAAGACGACCTCTTCAAAAGACGATCTGCCAATAACAGAACATGAGGTATTCCTGAAGAAAATGAAATTTGTATATGTATGTACATTAGAACTCCAAAGTATTCATGCATATTCTAGGTGTTTGTATTTACCTAGCAGAAAGTTCTCGAATGAGCCTAATTTGGCAGAACATCTTTCATCACGATCACGCTGTTCCTAAGGTAATTCCAGAGGATGAAACCAATTTAAGGGAAGGGTAGCTGGAATGGGTGATGCCAGTTGGTTTTCGATATGGACTGCCATTTCTCTTTCCTTGCAGGGTGAAGACACCTTATAGGAGTTGTAGGAGTTATACGATGGATCTATAGATTGCGAATGTCGTTTCATTGTCTAAGCGGTGGGCGTGATAGATAGTTCAGGGAAAGATACGATGCCCTCGTAAAACCGCGCCCCCACCGTGACGACTACGAGCACCGCGGGATCATAAAAAGAAATATGTGAAAATATACTTCTATCTTGCAGCAGGACGCGAAGCAACGTGGGTTAAGTGCGCATGCGCGCTCGCTAGTCGGCTGTTCGTTCGCCCACGAATTTCTTGAGCAAAGTGTTCAATAAAGGAAACCGTGCAGACGCCTAATGGAACCTTGTGAACGAAATATATGCAGCGAAACTTGAATCGTTTTGCCTTCTAACTGTTTTCTTTCCTCTCTCTCTCTCTCTCTCTTACCTGTTATGCTGATCTTATTATCAGGGGGATTTATGATTCGCCAGGAAGTCTCGCCACGCCGAAATTTCAACGGGATTTCCTTGGGCAGCCTTGTTCTGCGCATTCTATTCCTTTGTCTTGCAGGTTCGAGTGGCTTATTAATCTCGTTGAATTTGTGTTCACGCGATTCCGTGAAATCCAAACAGTCCCACGGATTTTGTTGGTTTTCTTGACAGGAACAGGTGCTGCCAACTAGTGAGTTTTAGAGATATGTCGTTGAGATCCTGGAACTAGAAACCACCTGTAGGAATTGATCGAACGTGTAACAAACAGAGCAAAATGTCAATTTTTGAGTTACTAAAATATATAAAGAATTCTCAACCTAATCTTCTTTGATAATTAATACTTATTAAAATTGTAGAAATTTACTTTTCTAACATAATTCAACTTCACCTCGTGGAATTTGAAAACGAGGCAGAAGCTGTTTTCAGCAGCACGGGATAACCGTTGGCGGAAGATAACCAAACTATAATCTCTTCATCGTAAGTCCAGGAGGTAACACTCTTCGTAGCAACAGTCGGTAACTTGCTATCCGGGAAACTGAAACTTGGTTAAAATGGGCTAAAATTAAAAATCTATACATCACGTCGCCTGGGGAACATGGTTTCGCGTGACGTCATTTCCAGGGACAACATCCCCCGTTCCAGGGTGATATTTCAGCCCTGGTCTACACGGAGTAGTTCGATCCTTTTCATAGTCGCATAGCGATAGTCTTAGCAAGTGGTAGTTTGTAGTGAGGAAGTCCATTCCAGCCATCGTGAAACTGAAACCTAGGAAGACCGATCGTTTCCAGACGTTTCTCGAGGATATTACCAAGGAGCAGAAAGGCCATAACAGAGTGTGAGAAACAACCCCTGCTGACACGCATGGACGCAGCCTGATTTGAACGAGTCGGGAAAAGATGCTAGAGAAACGCAAAAGGCACAGATACGACGTGCATTTGAAGCAGGAAGAATGTGGAGCCGATAGCGACGAGGATCTCATTGCATTAGGTAAGAGGGAATGACAATATCAGCATCCTCTCCCGCAATAAATTTTTCAAAATCCCTATTGCTATTAGTGACAAGATAACAATCACCATTTAATTGCTTCCAATGCCACTGCTTTCGCTCTTGAAATAATTATTCTTATGGTCAGAGCTTACGAGTAGCATGTTCCAAATCCAAAATACAGTAGACCGATTGATAATGAGGATTTTGAAAAACAGTGCATGTCGATAAATTCCCTATAATTAATATACTTGCTTATATCGTGATTAATTAACGATATTATCATGTACCAAAGATGTACGTCGGAAAGCAAGGAACACGGCACGCCTGTAGCTTCGAAATGCCGGATTAGGGTGCCGGAAAGTTGGAGAAAATAGTTAGAGAGTGAACGAGAGAGAGAGAAAGAGAGCGCGCGAATCATAGAGAACAATAGCAAGAAAAATTAGTCAAAAGAAGTAGGAAAAAAAAGAACGTAGAGAGGAAAAAGCTAAGAAACGGACGAGAGAGAATGAGTCACGCTCAGCAGCATGTGCTTGCGAGCGCTATAGTCCTCGCCATGATCGTCGTCTTCGGCATCCACGTCTTCCTCTTTCCCATGTACACGTCCAGCCCACCAGCACGACATACCAAGATCTCCACATACGAGCAGACCCTCTGCCGCACCAATCTAAAGAACGTCAGGGTCCCTGCTGAATGGAGAAACCCATGTCCCAAGTACGGGATCGTTTCTGTCGTACAGGGTGGCAAACTTGGCAATCAGATATGGGAGTACGCATCGGTTTGGGCCACTGCCCGGAGAACAGGTCTCGAACCGTTCATGCCCAGATGCATTCTCAAAACTCTTGAGGAGCATTTTGAGAATTTAAGTATACCACCACTCAGCTACATAGGCCGCTGCACTCTTGACATTGGACAAGTAGTCAACTCGCTTGGCCAATGGAACAGCACCGAGCAGAATATCATAATCCCCAGGTAAGATCATCAGCTGGAAAGTAAAATACTCCTAGATTTTGGTTATGATTGTTAAAGTGATCCTGGGATCTTTTCATGTTGCAGACATGCGGCATATTGGTCTCTCATTTTGGTTTGGCCGGACGACGTACGCAGGGAGTTCACGTTCAAGGCCAATTTGCGCTCATACGCGAATACACTATTGAAAGAAGTCGCTAGAAGGTTTAACCTGACGGAACCGACGTTCGTGAGCATCCACGTGAGGAGGACAGACTACGTCGACTATCTCTGGCAAAAGTTTAAAGTTCATCCGGCACCAGTAAGCTATTATCTGGCAGCCATGGACTATTTCGTCGGCAAGTATAGGAACGTGGTCTTCGTAGTGGCCAGCGACAACATCGTCTGGTGCAGATACAACCTGCGCACCAAGAGACACAGAGTGAGCTTCGTTTCTGACGCCGACGGCAGAGGACCTGGTAAAGACCTGGCCGTTCTCTCCGCCTGTAATCATAGCATTATTGATTACGGCACCTACGGCTCCTTCGGCGCCATCCTGGCAGCTGGCGAGACTGTCGTGTACAACGTGACTGCATATTTCTCTACCTTGATAGCTGAGGTTCTGCCAAACTGGAGGGTCATGAGTTGAAGTCTAAATCAAAACTTATAAAAGAAACGCTGCGAGTTGTCAAAATGAATTCTTAAGAACCAAATGTTCAGGAGTGATGATAACGTCTTACGGAGACACGAGACAGTTTAATCCATATGAAATTTTATACTTTTAACGTTTCCGTCTTGCAATTTTCCGTGTCACTTGTAAATTCTACTTGTCGGCATTCACACAGAGAACCGACCTTTACGTTCTTTATATCCTTTTCTGAGCAAAGACCAAAAATATTAATCATACTTCACTTCTTTTTCGCATCGATGTAGAGGTTCGCAGGACTAGTTCGCCATTCTGTGTCAACCGGAATAGTGGAATCGGACCGCGTCTCTTCGACCGGAAGTTAGTTCGTATTTATTGGTAACGTACCGGAATCAGATAATTCTCCGTGTTTCCCTGTTAACTAAGATGAGTAGTAGATTGTGAAATGAAAGTAGAGCAGCTTCCTATGCAAAAAAAAAGAAAAAACAAAAAAGTTTACACCGGAACGATGGACCACATTTCTCTACGATTATAGAAACAAATACTTATTTTTTCTACTACTACGACTCGTGTGACGAACAAAAAAAAGCATTGCTGAAAATATTGGAACAGTTCTGTCTCGATGGTGGTACTAATATTTAAAGCTCTATTCCACGGCGCACCTGTGATTCTTTATTCGCAATGAGGATAAAGAATCGACAGCGGACAGTATTAATACGTAGCTGACTATTTTTTAAGCTTCTTTTCTTTCAAGCCTTCTTTCTGATGATTCTCATTTTTTGAAATCGTGAAACTAGCTTAGAGCATTCGTATTATAGTGTTTCTACGTAGCTTCGATAATCCGGACAAGGCCAGTATACATATATATGTGTAATAGACATAATTAATTCAGAATAATACGTTGACTATCCTTAAAATGAATAGAATTACACAAAAAACGAAGAAGCAAATACAATATATATACACAACAGAGAGAGACAACACACTTTACATTCATGTATAGGCTCTATCCATTTATGACTCTCACGATGTACAATGATTTCATCTGTGATTCTATTTCTTATTGTGCCAAAGTTCTTAATATAAATATATTATATATATATATATATTATATATTGTGAAATTATATCTATACAAATATATTGTATAATATTTACAAAAAGTGTATTAGACGAGGGATAAAATATTTCTTCGTTGGCAAAGGGCTGTGTCGCGCGTGTGTTAGACCCAAAATTAAAATAGGGAGAAAGTAATTGAGTGACATGGGAAGAAGTATTTTATACGAATTAATCGTAAAGAAAAGAAATTAAATGTTTAAAATTTTATAACCTCGTGACCTGACGTATTCGAATTGTATATTATATTAGAAAGTGTAGTTTAGTCAATGTCTGTATATCTACATCTATATATATATATATATTACTTTATTATGACATCACAAGTTATTCGCCTTTGCAAGTAGCATGTATATTTAACGTTTCTTTGTCTCTCTTGAAATGCAACAGGGATTGCAGTTTGATTTTCGCAGGATTTCGTAGAGGAATATGAAATATAGGTGAGAGGTAATGTTAAATTTATTTTGCTACTTCAATGCGCGAATATCGCTTCTCTATATTGTACATCCTCTGTGATAAATTTTGTCTAATTTTTGGAGAATAACAGCTGTATCCGTTTCTGAAAATTGTTTGTCGTACAAAATAAAAGTATTCTATGTGGATATATTGATTGTTTATTGATATTCGACTGCCATATTGTATTCATATTTGATGTTCGGTGTTATCGATTCGTTGTCACGAGGCCCGCTGGGCCCAAACCTAATTTGGCGTCTGGTATCTTTGCTCTCAGTGGCTGAAAACCAAGTTCAGCTTGTGGAATTCCGTATTCTTGGAGTTTCGATTCGTAAGTCGATAACAGGTCGTCGTGGGCCTTGCAAACTTTTGCTAATTCATATTGCAGATCTTGAATGGCCGTGTTCTTTCGGTTTAACATTTCCTGTTAACGTGATATAAAAAATGTTTAATTACAAGTCTTAGGGGAATTGTATTGTCAAATTTAATCAAACAGTTAATACCTCTAGCTTCTTATTCACGTTCACTATCGCCGCTGGATCTAACTGAGCAGCAGCCAAAACTTCATTAATTTGAGCTTCACGTTGTTCTAGCAAATCTGATAGCTTTTCTAATTTCTTCTCTAGAAGAACGTTCTTCAATCCTGTTTTCTGCTGAAGTTCCAAAATGGCTGATACGAATCTCGAATGAAGCTCATCGCGCTCGCCCTGACACTGTTAACGAAAGAATTTTTGAGAATCAATCATTAAAATTGATTTTGTCATTCTCCACAGCATTGTACCTTTTCAAAACGTAATTCAAGGACTTCATTTTCCCACTTTAAATTCTCTAGTTCCTTGAGCGTCTGAGTAAGTCGTCTCTTAGTATTCTAAAATAAACATAATGATAACAGAGCTAAGAAGAATATCTTAAATTATGAACAAATTTTGTTTTTCTTAATTAAAAAATTGATACCAACAGCCAAGCAGACTTTGTCCTTCTCATAATTGACCAACTGCCGACTATTTTCTGTTACTTGTTCCTGCGCAATTTTCAAGTCCGCCGAGAATTTTTTATTCTCCGAAGATAATTCTCGCACCTGCTTCTTCATTCTTTCCTCATGATTCTTCATAACCTCCATTTGTTCCTACATACAAAATTCAACTAAATTATCTCTGTATATCCAAAGCAAAAGCAGCTTGGTAGCTGCTAGTAGTATATAGTATAAGTCATATAAAAGTTACCTTGAGACTTTTGATCAAAGATAAATTATTAAGTGTGATGTCATTATAATAACTCTTCATCTCAATAAAAGCTTTCTCATGATTTTTCATGAGGTTGGCTATCTGCATATTCTTCCTCTCTTCCACCTCAGTCATTTCCATTTTATGCTTCAGCGTCAAAGATTCATACTGATTAGCCAACTTCTGCTCGTACTTCTGTTCAAGTTCCACTGCCTCAGCTTCAAATTTCTTCATAATTATACTCATCTCCTCGGCACTTTGCTGTAACAGAAGATTAGTAAGAACCACGTGCTATCAGCAGTAATACTAGAAGTCATTAAAAACTCACTAGCTTCAACGCTCGAATTTCATTCATATGAGCTAATTCCTGTTCCTTAAGCATCTTCTTCAAATCCTTCTTGTCCTTAATGAACTCATTTTCCTGCGCCGCATGATCTTCCTGAGCAAGTTTAAGAACTACCATATGCTCAGCTTTCGTTTCCGAAAGATTCGTCTGATGCTCGTACATGAGATGCTTGACTTTCTGCTTGTAAAGTTTCAATTCCGCATCGTGTTTCTCTGAGAGTTCCTCCTTCTCGCGTTCCTTATTTCTGTAATAACAGTAGCTCTGCAATTAGTGAGTGATGTTAGTTGATCAAATCTCAATTATATTAATTATCAAAAGTTACTTAGGCCGTTAATCAAACTACCTCACGGTAGCCCGAGCTTCGTCGAGCTGATGTCTTGTAATTTCCCAAAAAGTTCTCAACTTGTCCCTTTCCAATTGAAAGAAATTTCTCTCCTCTCTTTCTCTCTCCATTTCCTCAAGAATTTTATGAGAGTAAAGTTCCAACTGTTCACGATTCATTTTTGAAGTATCGACCCCGTCGACCGAATCCATCGTTTTGCCTTTTGCTTTTTTAGGTCCCTGATCAACATAAAATCTCATTAAATTCTATATCCCTACGTCATATCAATGAGACTTACCATAATTCCCGTTGACTTCGTTCTTGCTCTTTAGGAATGCTTTAAAATATAATATTCAACTTTTTTTTAAGGTTTAAATCAGCGCTGCGCGAGAGAGTGCAGCCTCGGAACCGGGTTCACAAAAGTTCAGAAGTTCAAGTGGTAGAGAAACTAGACTGCGTTCATTACGCTCAGCCCTCAAGTACTGTTTGAGAATCAGAGTTGCTAGGCAACTCGTATGCCTGGTAGCAACCGTATAACGATCACCAACTCGTTAAAGCATTATACCAACGTACAACTGTACTTTTCTGACAGAGGTCGGGGTGGAGAATTCAAATGAGAACACATGATACATAGTGCTTGCGATATGCAACGTGTATTCAAAAAAAAAACCATCCGATTACCAGATATTTGCCTAGAATATAAAATGTACTAGATACTGTTCGTGATAAGCAGATGCAATGATTCTTTTGGCAGAACACTATAAATATGTGCTATTACCAAATTAGAAACGTCGAATGTGCTTATCACGGAATGTAGCAACATTATAATTATTATTCCTACAATCAATCAGAATGAACTGGAGGAACGTAAAACACAATTTTATAGCCGGATCGTAGGGCCTCCTTTTTATAACTTATCTGAAGAAACGTCAAACTATGAAATTTGTTATACTGCATACGTGCTGCTGGATCTGCACCGCTTTGAACATGGTGTGTTCGTAAATTTATACAAGTAACCTAATGTCATGTTACGGAATATTGCGTATAATTCTTACAGTAGATAACAATATTTATCACCCAACCGATTAGATAACACTTTGCAAACTATCTTACAGATAATCCGATATAATTTATATCTGTTAAAAGGTTATCGTTGATTCGATCGATGATAATCGCATTGATAATAGACGATGGAATTTTTACTTTCTTCTCTTGCAGATACAATGAAAATACTAAAAAATATGGCCTTGTTTTTTTTAATAGAAAAAAGGGAGACTGAGGTAAGTATTAAATATTTATAAAAGGAGCGACGAACCCCTGGTTCTATCATAATGCTTACGACGACTTCCAACAAATATGGATTAAGTATGTACAAGTGGTATAAATTCTTCACCCCTCCCCTTTGCCATCCCTTCGCTTTAAAATTACCATGCTCCGAATATAGCCATTACATCGTAAGACGCATGCATTGTGTACACGCAAATATGTATATGTATAAATATATAATAAATTTAAAACTTAAAACGAGGTAAAACTAGGCTAGCCGATATACGCAATGAATACTCGGGCGAGTCGGACCCATCTGGGTATTTGGTCCATCGACTTTTTTTTTGTGTGAATTTTTCAAGATTTGTGCCCTTTTGTCAAGGAGCACGTGCGACAAGAGCAAAACACTTGTGATCCTTCATGAATATTGGTCACTGTCAATCACAACTGTATTTGCATCTTCACAGGGATCGATCCCGCACGTTGATCGCACGCGATCCTTAAAAATTAATTACACTCAAAAACCAAGTAAACAATAAAATTAAGCTACCCTTCGCAATTAAATAACATTATCTAACTTGATGATCGCAACATCATCATCACGATGTGGAATCATTTCCTCCACTGGAATGGTACTTTATTGCGCAATATTGACTAACCATCCCCTTAGCTGGTCTGGCCATTGTACTGCAACAAACATCCCACTGCTCCAAAATATCCCTGTAAAAAAAAAAAACAACCGTCACTTATACCATCCTACATCGCAAGATTGATATTTCATTAATTGTTTAAAATAGCACAAACATACCTCATGTTCCAAGAAGAGAGCCTTGAGGGTGCCCCTTGACCAGTAATCCATAGCATAAGCCAATAATTTCATGGATATGGGATTGACCCTCAGGAAATTACCAACGAACACTACCTGAAAAAATGATTGCAAAAATATCGCATAACAATCCTGATGAAAGAGGGATAGAAGTATATTATTAATCGATTAAGTGGCACCAACCTTCTCGATTTTTTCATTAACTGCACACATACGCGCTATCGAACCGATGTTATTTGTAATGGTGACCAGAGTCGCCCGCGCCAAGTCTTCCTTGGTCACTGCGTTACGTCGATCCTTCGAGTTCATCTGCCCGAAACTGTACACATGGAGAAAACTTAACATAGAGGTGACTGTTAGACAAGCATACGATTACGAAGGCCATCTACAAGAAGAGCATTAAGTTGAGGATAAAGTTGTGGGCCATTCTTGGAAGGGAAGTTTAAGTTTACAAGAAGATATTACAAGAGTTTGCTGGACAGAATTTTAGATTGTGACATAAGTTCTACTGCATAGAAGGACTTGAAAGAGAAAATTATAGGTGCTATTAATAAAGAAATCCACAACCGTAAAAATTAATTGCACTACCAATCCAATGCTCAGGACTGGTTGATTGTAGGAGGAATTTAAATTACCTGCTAGCTACGAGATCTCCGGGAAGACCAAACGGACCGTAATCGCCTCCATAAATATCTTTCACCAATTTATCTACTCGTGTGTTGTCACCACCAGTTGCCAATTCAATAGCTTCTTCAAAGCTGTTGCAACCGGTCAATAGGCAACATAATCCCAAAAAGGTTCCACCTCCTAAACTATAAAGAGAGGGTTCAGTTTTAAGATTTGATTGTTGACTTAGTTTAAGAACTGCACTGTCAAATATTTAATTACCTCGTCCCCGATATTCTCTTATAGTTATCAGGACCATAAACTGCCAGTATACTAACACCAGATCCTATATTTACAAGCTAAACAAATGAAAAGAATTGACTTTTTAACAACAAATAAGTAACAGAGATTAAAAGTTTTTTTTCTAAAAATTGATCTCATACCAAAAATGGATATGGGTCCGAAAAGTCATAAGGTACTTTCTGACACCTGGATTCCTCCGTAGGGTAAGACCAGTAATAACACTCGTGTGGATTTGTTGTTTCAATATACAACATCCCTCTTATCAAACTAACCAACTCATCGAATTTCGCTAAATTCATGTTGACTTCCTAGACAAAATAAAAAAATTTATTCAATTTACCGCCGCACACATCAACCTGCAAGTATTTACTGTTTCATCCTTATAATCGTGGACCTTACCCTTTTAAAATTTTCCTCAAATTTGAAAGCACCACCTCCCGTGGCGCAGACTGTCGTCACGAGGTTGGCCATACCCTTAGATTTAGCTAGTGCCAAAAAGTTGCCCATCTCGCTCGTTGGAAATCTTATAAAGTGTAGTGTCCCACGTCTTCCTCTTATGCAAACGTTATTCATCTATAATTTGTCATATAGTTTAATAATCATTAAAAAATACATAACACTTTCTCTCTCTTCCTCTTTCTACATATAGACACTTACCTGCAGGTGTGTATCTCGATGACCGGTTTTTCCATAAGCTGAATTCTTGGTTAAGTATCGGCGTATGTTCTTCAAAGTTTCGACCTCTGTATCCGCTTCGTCTCTGGTTATGTCTTTTGGTTCGAAATAAACTAATTTTGACAGAGTCCCACCAATATCCATTCCAAACCAGGGCATGGCTAGAAGTATTAATAGAAAGGTTCATCGTTTCTTGCACTGGCAGCTGCATTTCATGAAAATGATTTCCAAATTATGTTTATCTTAGTACTGGCAGTTTAGCGTTAATAATAGCAATATCACGCATTTTGTAGAAGTCGACTATATCTAATCTCCGTCAAGAACAGCGTGATAGCAGAGATTCATGGATATCTTAATTAAAAAATTTAACGATTTATAATTCTAGTACAAGAGCTTGCATAAGTATTGGGATATTAGGTAAAAAAAAAGATGGATTAGATAATTCAAAAATAACTCAAGCTCCTTGCATAAATTATTCAACTATCTACTGAGTATACATTTGCTGAATATTCGTGAATGTCAATTTTATTTTTTAATTTTACGCCATGAAATAATACTGAAAAATACTCAGGCGTTACAATATTATATACCATACTCATTTCGCTTCCCGCTACGTCTTACGCAGGTACTTGCGTAAGCAAAGTTATTTACGCATGGAAATTATTCCACATATACTTGTGACTTCTTTCATACGAGTCACTCTGCAATTTAGTAAAAAGCTTGAAAATAATTTATTTACGTGATCAAAAGTGATTAACGTTAGATGATAGGGGCCAGAGATCTAATATCAATTCATCATACACTACAGGAAAATAATGCAAATTAAATAATAGAATGAACCTTGCTTCAGGTAGATATTCCAATACAGTAGATTGACCATTGAAAATGGTCATCAAAATGAACGGTATAGGTATTGTAATGGAAAAAAGAAAAAAAAGGTGGCTAATCTAAGCACACATACAATTCACAGACTCACAGGGTGGTGAGTGGTTTTCGATTTGCGGGGCCGTAGCCGCTGTGCTCGAATATCCATTGGACGCCATGAGTCTTGCGTGTAGACAATCCTTACAACTGTGTGGACTCATAGTTGAAGCTTAAGCGAATCGTCAAGCACCCACGTGAAATGCCAGAACTTTTCTTTGCTGGAAGAACAATTAAGACATGTACTCTTTATAGAAATGAACAGGAATTAAGACTTATCTTCAAGTATACTAGTTGTGAGAATTTTTTCAGTTAGCTTGTAGTATGGAATGTTTATCTTTGAATACTAAAAAAAGTCAAAGGTCGGTTTTGAATTATGTATGGCATGAGAAGGTAATGTAAAGTAACATTAACATATATGAAGTTGAAAATGAACATTCAAATTCCTATGATACTCCGATGTACTATCCTAATGAAGAAACAAAAGTCAAAGATGCAGAAAAGCACTATACAGTTATCTGTTATTTTTAATGGTACTTTAAAAAGGATTAATGACTTACTAATACTGCCTAATAAATGCCAAATACTAAGCTTGTTATTCACTTTCTCAATACGTTCTTGATATCAGAGCAATAATGTTGGAGCATTTTACTTGCAGTTACACAGCTAACGACTGACTGAAGAATGACATTCTCAAGTGATAGAGAACTTTGACCAAGTTATCACAATTTAAAAAAAAGTGTACCAACTGATCTGTCTGGAGCGTGACACCCAAGTGCTACCTCCGTGACTATCCAAAAGAGTTTATTCATCCCCACTATTTTTCTTTGGTAACTCCGGAAGACTTCCCCTCTGTGACTTTAACTTTACTACAGATATAAGAGCATCAGTGCATGATAATGATGTACAACAAATTATCACTGATAAAATTATACATTGATAAAACAACATCTTTTGGAAATAACCATGCACAACAACAAAGGTTAAAACATGATTTTTTCATGACTAAATCAAAGAATATAATTCTACCAGACAGTAGTAGGTTATAAGAATAATAAAAGTTATAAATAAATAAATGTACTGGAACTTGCTACAAATATTGTGCCATGAACGTAATGATGAATGACGTAAATATTTTCCTGAAATACCAAAGCAACATTTGTATATGAAAATTATCCGTCAGAAACAATCATTAACTGGTTGGAAACATAACGGTACCTAAACTGTAGAGCCAAACCGGTGGATTCCTTTGCTGCATTAATGAAAGAAGGTCAACCTTCCTCTTACCTGGACACATCATGTTGGAATAATGTAGTACGATCCGTGCAATCGCGAATCATGAGAAATCAAATGGACCTTCCTGTTCAGGGCCGCCCTCAAGGACAACGATTATCTATCAGCACCGTTCTGTTCCGAGTCGCTCATTATCTATCAGGCCATCCTTTCATTTTATAGACACACGCGCAAGTTACTCGAGCGGGGAGCCTAGCATAACCATTGGACGCGGCTGGTCATCCGATGTGTCCAATTCGTTGAAAGTTCAGTCAGTTCCCAAACAATATAGATATACTATTCTTTTCAAACTACGAGCACAACACGAACCGTAGACTTTGATCTCTCACAACGATATTAAAAATCTACCTGTTACAAAATTATAAATGCGCCGTTCATTAATATGGTTTCTGGCATAAAGATAAATATGACAGCAAGATAGTAAAGTCATTTAAATTGATTAGATTTTATTATCACGTAATGTCCCATTACTTGCTTGTTATGATTCATCCTGCGACTGAAAATGTCCATATTTAAGTATGCTAAATAGATTTTTTTTCATTAAATTTTTTTTATTTATGTCCCAGTAAACTACATAATTAACACGATGAAAATCGTGTATTCTATGTGCCTTGAGCACGAGCCATCATCGATATCTTTTGCGCCTTCTGAACGATTTCAGGACAACGTCGACGTCGGACCAGTCGACAATCCTGAAAAAATCCCTCGTTCATTGGAAATCCATGAGATCCGTCCGTATAAGTAACAAGACCTAATTGTGAGAGTAAGAAGAGATTTTCATTAATGGTTCTGTACCATATTTAATTATTCTGCACTTACCTAAACCCCAGACGCGTCCCCCTCGAAATTCACCCTCGAATTTCATTCCATCCGCACGCCAGAAAACGCCATGTCCATGAAACCACCCTTGCATGAATTCACCCTCGTACCTAAATAGCGAATAAAAATTAACAAACGCAAAGATCATCAACCTGCAGCTGCAGGTACTCACTTAGCCCCATCAGGGAAAACGATCACACCTAGACCAGAACAAAGGCCACTTTGAAAAGCTCCATCATATCTTGTTCCATCCGGTAATGCCAAACTGCCAGCCCCGTGTTTAAGTCCACGTCCATTCCAGTCGCCGATGTACTTCGTTCCATCATCGTACTTATATGCGCCGTTCTTGACCACACCTAGCAATTTAAATTAGTAATTCAATCCAATGGACCAAAAGAGGTTGAGGTAGCCACAGAAAAAGAGGAACTTGACTCAAAAAGACTTACCATCACCCATGTTCCTGATACACTAAAAGCATTATTGGTAGCTTCAGAATTTAAATCCACTTACTGAAATCAATGGCTTATTGAATTAACCGAAGCATGTATATATATGTATATACATATACATATAATGAATATGGCTAAAATATGAAAATTCCTTTGCCACAGTTGTCGGATCTTAAGGTATTGGATAATCTGCTGCTAACTAAATTATTGAAATGATAAAATATCTAACCCCGTATTCAGAAATCGCTTTTAGTGCTAATAGTGTGCTTTTAAATTTTTTCTTAGTGACTTTTAACTACAAGCGACTCTGTTAGTGAGTTTAAGAGCGAGTTGTGAATACGGACTCTAGTCTTTATTTTCACTTATTTCAAAAGGAATAACAACTGTTTCGCTATTGTTTCAAGCATACAGGAAAATCATTTTACAGAATTATAATTTCACAAGCTCTGATAAACATTCTTGTGCACTTTCTTTATTCTGCGTTTATTTACAATACGAATAACGTTATGCGTGCACATTTCGTTATTTCGGTTCTCCAGGTGAACCAACTAGGAACCATCGTGTCCTAGTTTGAGCTGCGACCTTTCTTACTAAGCGCTTCCGGTCATCTATTGGTGTCGCTAATTTGTCCAACACATCTTGTTTAAATGGTAGAATTGAAATAGTTGGATAGTTACAGTAGCTCAATAGACACTCTAGAGCAGTTATTCTCACTTTCTGAAAAATTTTAAGAAACAGGATTATCAGAGAGTTTGTCAAAAAAAAAGCTGATGAAGAAAGAAGGATATAGGTACCATTTCTTTGTACGTAGACAGCTTTAAAAATTTTGGTATAAAAGCCTGTGCTTGGTCTAAGAAAACATTGTTCTTTGTTTTCAGTAAGAATTTCAATGTAGTTAAAGTTGATAGTATCAATTCTCCATTGTCGAGAGCCAAGGATTCCACTAAAAGTGGTACCAACTGATAAAAATAAAAAATTATTAATTTTAAACACCACATATATTAAATAATTTTCATGTGATTTATGTCTTAATTACCTGCGTTAAGTGCATGAACAATAATTCATGTGGTACTTCTTGCAGTAAATGAGTTATTGCTATCAAATAATTTTGTCTAGATTCAGAATCGAACGTACTATTTAGCTGAATGACATTCTGAAATATTCTTTGCTTATAAAAAATTTTTATGTTGCAAAAGTTCTCCTCCGTTAACGTATCTTCAGATTTGTCAGCCAAACTTGTAAATGCTAACGCAGCATCGTAGCCCACCCGATCGTTTCTGAGCATGTTCAATTGCTGTGAAGTATTCAGAAGTGAATATTAAAATACTTTATTCTTAGTATTTGCGAACACTTACATAGTTTAGGTAATCCTGAGAACTCCAGCTGCCTTTCGTGATAACTGCTTTTGTCAGCCACGTATGAAGACTGACCGTAGCCCTTTTAGTATTAATATCAGAATCTTCAGATTCCAAAACGTCAGTAATACGTTCCCTCATACAATTAAGAATTCGTTCTAAATGTTCCCCATCTTCCATCTTGTTAATTAATACAGAAATCAACTTACATGAGACACGTCTGGCATCGACGCTTGTACTACATATTGCCAGGTTACATAAATTCTCCAATAAAGTATCAGAATTCTGTATATAAACATTTCTACGTAGTGGCGTCAAAAGACCCTCGAGCAATACAACATTATTTTCTGATATTTTGTTTATCAATATGTCTGTATAGCGATTTACGACCGCTTGCTGATCTTCTACATCTAATTGTCTCACAATGAATCGACAGATGTTGGAAATCAGATTCAGTCGCTGATTAAAATCGCCAGTTTCGGATGTAACCAGTCTGTCAATGGCGTTATATTCCTTATACAAGAAACTATGAATGTCAAAATCATTGTTTCTAGTACTGACGAGTTTGCGAAGGCACGACAGGGCAGCAAGACTTTTTTCAGAATTATTTGACGTTGCCACTGCAACGATTTTAGCTAGCACTTCTGGTCCTAATTCTGGGACCCTTGCTACAGCCGTTAACGCTTCTAGTCTGCATGTAATTACCGCTGATTCTACAGAATCTAAAATATAGCAGTAATAAATGAGAGACTCATTTAATTATTCAATAACGTCAGGGTATTTATACATTTGTAAATTTACCTATGTCAACCGAAAGCTTGTTGTTGATAACACTTAATATTTCATTGGGATATAGCTGTCCAAAAGATAAGAGACTCGTATGACAGACACCTCTTATCTCATTGTTCATCCGTTCAATTTCAGATGATATTCTGTCATAGAGTGATGTACGATGCAGTTCATTTAAAGAACGTTTTTGTACAGTCAAGCCAAACAATATCTTTTTCTTTAACTCTGTATCTTGAGTTGTCAACTCGTTTAAATACAAGTATGGTATATCAGTCCATGTTAATTCTGGAAGACCTGTAATAACTTATGTAGAAATTTGCCTCTGGACAATAATGAATGGTAAGTGAAACTTACTGCCAATAGTGAAATTGTAACTCTCACTGATTGCTATAAAACTATTCAGTGTCTCTATAAGAGCAACTTTGTCAGACGTTGCAGTTTTACTAGAATACTGTCCAAGACATAGTGGTACTATTGCACGAAGGACTTGTATGCATGAGTCTTTATCAGCTGTAGCTACAGATTCTAATACTTTCTCTGCAGGCCAGTACAAGCTCAATTGGACATCGCACAGCGATCCTCTTGTATCTGTAATAATTTTCTCAACAAAACTTTGACGTACAGTACTGTTACTGTGTAACGCCTTGACTAATTCACGTAGAGCCTCCAATCCAGTATTCTTTATTTGAGGATCTCCATTTGACATAACTTCCTTCCTTAGAACTGGCCATAGTTCCTGAAGATGATTCTTAAGACCGTCTACCCCAAAAGTAGAAGCTCCTTTGGATAGTAAATATAATGAGTCTAATTTTGCGAGCTTTAGATCCGAATCGAGTTTCTCAGTTATGAGAGGTATACAGAACTCAGCGAATTGTGGAATGGCACAAAGGCATGACACTAGTGCTTTTGTTATAGCATCTCTTGTTATATCTAATTCTTTACCAGCAGTCTGTAATGCAATATAGAGTATTTCATATGATTATATAGACTGTAAAAAAATTAAACTGTGCATCATAATTACAGTTTCGAAGTCAACAGGAAAATAACAGGCAATGACTTCAAACATCTCCTCTGTTAAATGTCCAAGTGGAAATTCCTTGATGAAATATGGAAGCATGTTGAATAAGAACATAAGATTCCTAGGGTCTTTTTCTCCATCCATAGCAGAGATCACATCATAGACAAAATCTGGTCCCATAGCCTTTAAATCACCACTCCTATTTCGGAGTAGAGATTCAAATATCAAATAAATCTTTTTTCTATCTTGACGTATATGAGACTGACAATGTACATGTTGAAACATTACACCGAATAAACGTGATGGTGAGTCCTGAGGAAGATTATCCATTTGCACCTAAAAAATCATATTTAATTCTGAATATGATCTTATCTTAATTAATAAAAGTGGTCAATAAATTATACATTTCATACAATTGCCAAAATACCACATAGTACAGCTGGGATGAGACTGTGATGGTCCTTCAGTCTATCACAATAAAACGTTGTTATAAAATTCAACTCGATCTCATTTAGAAAATCTTTAGGTAAGTGAGACAAAACAGTGGACAGTGCAATAAGACCCTTCAATCGTAAGGTAACATCCTTGTCTGTCAAAAAAGGTCCAAGCTCTTCAACCAGACCAACGAGCTTAGTATGTCCTTTTTGTATCTCTGAAAGATATAAAAAACACTATACTATATCCATCTAAATGACATATCACTTTTGACCAAGAATTTCCCATGAGCTTTCCTAGAAATTATGTTTCTCATAACGCGTGGCATTCATTAAGAATGAAGCAGACATAGCATCTGATTAGAAAAAAAGGATTGAGCAAAGGTTGTAGAATATTTCATAGTTAAACCCCAGCTGGAATTCACGCTCCTCCTCCAAATGCCAAGGCCAACGTGAGACATCCAACGACCAAAGCACTATGTTAATCGATGGTAATGCATACGTACATACCTAAGGCGATATCCAGGCACTCTGCAATCAGGGCATTGTCGTCCTTAAAAGCCACCGACAATTTTTCAGCAAAAACGGAACTCATTGGGCACGCCATCATCTCTCATGCCTCAGGAACAAATGATAATTACCTCCGTGCTGATGATGTAAAAATCAGAAAGGTTCAGCCAACCTGACCCTAAACAGCTATGTCTGCTTTGGCCTCCTAGATATTTTTCAGCCAAATGAGTAGAGCGGTGAGAGTGAGATAGTGAATGAGATAAACATTCAAAAGAAAGTGACAGAGCGAAGATAGAAAAAGAAATACGTGCATGTGCATCCTGGTCCAAGAATCAGAGAAATTGTTCAAGGTGGAAACAAGTGCAGCGGAGTTCGTAGATAATTTCAAGGGTGGTTTGTGTTTGTAATTTTTCCATGATGTTGGAAATAATTCGCAAAGGATGTAAAGTAAACCCTAACGGATAGTGGAGATTCTTTGGTTAAGTTGTAGCGCCGCTTACGGCAGCGGCACCAACCGCGATGGATAAGATGGACGAAAATGGCATGTGAGGTGTTGTTAAATTTTAGTGAAATGTTTGGTTACACCAGCCACCTAGGATGGGAGGCTGCATAGGCATTACGAGGGCCAGAAACGCCTCTGTGGACGATATGTCCGCAAACTCCACGAGGACAAATTCTGGTAAGAAACTCATCTTCGAGGAACGTGTCTCAAAACATACCTAACACTAACTAACCTTGGAGTCAGTATACATATTTTTTTCATACCTTCTGCGTACCTAGTGTGTAATAACCGTTGTACTTCTATACTAGGATATGCTAATGATATTGAAATAACTGATATTTTATTAAAATTCATGTTCTACTCAGTTATTCATTTAATGGAGTACACTCTCATGTCCCATAAACAATTTTTTTATGTACAATTTTATTATCTTCTACCATTGTGGATCCATGCTGTTAGATTATTCTCGCGATTTAAAATAATCTTAGTCGTCTCTGGAGTACAATGATAATTTTGGGAAAGGTTATATAATATTGGGTGTATCAGTTTTACAACAGCTTTTTATTACCACCTTGTACCTATTTATCTGTCCTACTTATCCATTGACCTTTGATTAGTTCTAATCTTTAATATATTTATCATACTAAATTCTTACAAATGCATAACACTATTGATATTATTAATCATTGATTATCATACATAGTTTTGTTATATATTTTGGTTTTAAGATAGTGCTTATAAGTCATTACCTGCTTCAATAAAAAATTTAACTGAAGAATGTCTTATATTTTCAGGAAATTCAAGAAAAAATCATCCATTGTGTCACGAAGTGATTAGATGGAAGTCAGATGTACCTTTGACTGTGGGACAACTTAGAAGTAAGAGAGATGAATTTTGGGATACTGCTCCAGCATTTGATGGACGTAATGAAATATGGGATGCATTGAGGGCTGTAGCAACGGCTGCAGAGGCTCAGGATTATCAACTGGCTCAAGCCATTCTGGATGGTGCCAATATCTCTGTGCCCAATGGTTCTCTAACAGAATGTTATGATGAGTTGGGAATGCGATACGATGTCCCAATTTATTGTCTGTCATACCCTATTAATATTGTTAAAGAAGACAGTGGTAGAGATTCACCAGCCGATTGCTCAGGTAAAGTTAATAAGGACAAGCATGCATGTACTAAACAAAAGGCAATGTTCAAGAAATTTCATTATATGCTATCCTTGCAGAACCTGTTGATGGAGGAACCGAGATAACACTTAAGCTCAGATTATCAACAACCTTAGGAGATGTCAAATTGCCCGTTTACAGCAAAGACACTATTGGAACTGCTAAGAAAAAACTGCAGGTTGGTATTTCCTCAAGTCATCATTAACACGTTCATGCCGGCGCATTTTTTTATATATAGTATTTTGAACTAGCCATGAGTCACCGATGATACACGCCGGCGTGAATATGTTAAACAAGATCTGTCTTGTCCTTTTGTATAATATATTCATGCATCCAATATATATCCAGAGTCAAGAGGGTCTAGAACCATCGCGACAGAGGTGGTTTTTCGGTGGAAAATTGCTCGAAGATAAAATGCACATAGAAGAGGCGAAAATCCAACCTGGCTACGTAATACAAGTCATTGTGAATCCAGAGAAAATAGAGGATAGCCCGGTAAAGACAAGTTGAATAAAAAAAAGGTGCAATTTCAGTGGCGCTGGACATCACATAAAACGAATAATACATAACAATAGGCACGTTCCTACGCTGTTAATAATGGTGATTGATTCTTAATTACTCGTTGCCGTTAGAACCATTCAATCAATAACACAATCGAGTAACCACTCACTTTAATTTCAATCTATGCGAAGAACGCTTGATTGACATTTAAATCCCACGAATCAGAAGTTAATTACAGTCATCAAGATAAGAGAAGAAACAAGATTTTTTCCGTCTCTCCACCAGTTTACATCCATGGTAATGTGCTTTCTCATATTGAAAACTAATGTGGCCCCACAGGCTACGTCCAGAAAAACGATGGCGATAATATGTACAATACGCTCGACTGAACTGTACCTCAACGTATTGCATGTACAGTGGATGAGTGTAAGAGCATGAATCATTCAATCGAAGAATTTCATCTGGTGTTTGGATCTTGATGCAGTAAGAATGTTATGCGCGCGCTATTCGACTCATATCAAAAGTACAGCGCCTAAGTCTTGGCTGGCGGTTACCTAACAAAAAAGAAGAACCTGATCGAAGTGACAGTCAGATCAATTAATCTATGAGTGACACGCTCTGGATGCATCCGCAAGGCCTCCGATTCCTTCCTAATAAGTGTTAAGACATACATAACGCATAGGGTTTCTTAAACTGATTCAAGAGTGAGACTCGAGGACTGGCGCAACTCAATCATACTCTTTATACACAAGGCGGCATGTGGTTGCAATTTTGTAATTTTACTTCTTCGACCTGCCGTAGCTCATAAAATTGCAGAGTTCACCTGTAAAAGTAATAGTCAGTCTTGCGAATATGTCAAAGGAGCAAGGAGCGTCAGTCACACTCCGAACATGATGCAATTCTTGACCGCGATCTTTTCTCCACATGCTGCGTAAAGTACCTAAACCTGTAATAATTAAGAGCGTAAAGTATACGTATGTGCTATGCGTTTGAATTCTTCTATCGACATTAACGTAACGGTTACGTAGCATATTTCTTTTATACATTTAATTATTCGATTATATACATATATATATGTTTGTATATACAAAAATATATATATGTGCGTGTATATATGGCTATATAGTATATGTATACATAATCATACAGGATGCAACATAACTCAGGAATATCCTTAAGAGGTCATGCACTGGAGGAGTCGTTCCCGTTGACAATTCCTCGTGGAATTTTAATCTCTTGAGGATATCCTGATGCTGTGACAATCTCTGTATATATTTGTTCCATTTAGCGACAAACTGAGCTACGAGATGATAATTTAAACTTGCGCGTATCTTATTTATGAGTTATTAATTAACAAGTTGCTGACTGTATTATAAATGCGTTTCTTTATTATTAAAGAAACCGAAAACGAATGCGCATAACGCTCAGTTTCTGTGGAATAGGAAACTTTATAATATATTGTGCGTGTATATATATTCAATATTCTATGCATTTTTTTTTTGTTTTTAAATATACTACATTCGCGATAGAAATAACGTTGGCACTTGCGTCTATGGCGTAACAGTCTTCGCCTTTGATGCTGCATGAACATTACGAATTGCGTGAATCGCAAGATTTGAAACAACCTCTACTCGAGGACTTACGCCTTGATGAAATAATATGTCGACTGTACTTCAGGTCAACCTGATCATGTTTTACTCGACTGGCATCGCGTGCCGTTTATTGTGTCAGCATTGCGATCGTGATAATCTTTGGTTGCTAGTGATTATTTTGCACGTATTATTTTATCACGTGATGACGAAAACGAAAAAAAGAAAAAATGTTGCTTAGGGAAGATATGAGGTAGTAGTGCATTTATATACGGTAATGTTGTTGTTGTTATTATTATTATTATTATTATTATTATTATTATTGTCTGTGTACGTGACATCATAGAAATCCGCTACGGCGTTAGCAAATCTTATCAGACTGATGGAAACCTGATCACAAAACGAATTTATTTTATTTAACACTGAAGAAAAATCTTTCTCTTTTCATCATGACTGATTGTAACGTGATCAATCGCTGTAATTCATGGCGATGTATTTTCGCCGTACTTCTTCGCGGTCAGCTAGGGGATCTTGTAACCTTCTAGGGTCTTGACTGCGCGACTTATCTAATGTGTCATTTGGAAATGAGAAATTTTAATTATATTTGTAGGTTCGCGCGACGTTCATCGGCAAAATTTTTAACGATGCTCAATTCTTAAGTTTAGTCTGTATCTTGTGCGCTGTCTTAATATTTTGTCATTTATAACGTAACGTTCATGTTTCACGTTGCTTCTTACAATTATTTTCAAATCGACAAGCGTACGGACGGATTATTTTATGAAACCTTAAAATCATCGACATATGCCAATTCATCAACCCGATTAATATTGCGTCGTAAAACATTTTTAAAATACTCATAAGCGCGCGACACTCGACCAACGTGCCGAGTTCGATCGAGACGAGAAAAGAATGCGTCGAGTGTGTAAATAGAGAACGTTACAATAAAAAAATAATTAAAAAAAGTGCAATTTCTAACGCGTGGCAAAGACGCTATTCCAGTGTTAGATATTGCCACATCGGACCAATGGTGTACGAGAAGCACGTTTTTAAAATCAAAGTGTGACTGATTGGAAACGACAAATTATAGTATAACTGCCAATAATATAAAAAAAAAAATAAGAGATGACAAAAAAGTTAATTAAAACGGATTGTCCTCGGTATTGATTGCGAGCGATCTTACACGTCACGAGGAATTTCCAAATTCGCTGAACAAGAGTTTAAATTAACTGTAATTAGATAGTTACTTAAAGTATTAAGCAGGGTTTACAAATTTTCTAAAAACTAATCGAGAAGTCGATGTTAATTGCTAAGAGTCAAATCCAATCATGTCCATACGAACATGTAGTTCTAGCGGATTCGATTAAAATTTTAGGCAGCATAAAGGAGGAGAATGAGAATGAGACGAAGAAGAAGAAATAAATCAGATAAACGATAATATGAAAAAAAAAATAATGTATATGTTTGGTTTCTATCACCAATAGAATAGAATCGAAATACTGTATTAAGGGCAAATTCACTAAGCTTTCATACTTTTGACATAGATATATTATTCTAACGGAGTCCAAATTAATTTCTACGAACAATGACCATTATAACACAATGCATTGTCAAATAAATCAGCATAATGTTGTGAAAGTCTCGCGATTAACTTTCCATCGTCAATCCATTTCCAACAATGTCTAGCATGATTCTTTGGTTTAATTAAATAGTCCTTTCTGTCTCTTCATTTCGGTAAATTTCTCAAATGCTTCAATTCATGGCAGAGCCATGTGATTGCGCTCAAGAGCAAAAGGCTACCAGCCTGATGGGAAGCGGCTAAAGCCAAAGGAACCTGGTTCAGAAGAGTCGATATTCCTAGGAGTACTTGAAGGTACCCAGCGCAGACGACTGCAGTAACAGCAGTCGATCCTCGTCCAGGTAGTCTATACTTGCGCGACATCATAGCCATGACGGTGATCAACGTCAATGTGGAAATACCCTGGGGATGAAGAAGATTCATGAATATCTTATGCACCACGTACTAATTTTACGTAGATATTCACTGCAGAATTTACCAATATTCTGTGATCAAATTGCACAGTTGTTGGATTTTCCGTGAAGTTTAAGAGAACTGGTGAAAGCGCAAGGATGTCATCAGGGATCCATTTATTTGCCATCTTTGGGAAGGTGTTATAAATCAATCCTGCATCAATGCCAGCCACGAAAGCTCCTGACATGGCTGTTAGGAAAATTAAACCTTTTGAAGAATGTACCAACATCCTGATTTTCCTCAGACCCTTTGTTATGGTGTTCTGCATGGGCTGTGAGCTAAAATAATTCTTCACTACGTTCTCCGCTGGAATTAGATGGTCCAGGGCGTTATAAAGAAACCCAGTGTATATGGTCAGTGCCAATCCAAGGTGGGCAGCTAATCTGTACTGGGATACTCTAGGCACGTCCGATGGTCCATCAAATCTATCCTCCAAGCCTGACTTGACCATGTACCAACCCATTAAGCCCTGCAAGCCAATGAGTGCACCCAGGCTAAGAACTCGAATCTTCATGCCTGGTTTCAGCATACCCTTTGCCCAAAAGATGGCTGCAGGAACAATGAATACTCCTCCGATCAACCGACCCCACGTTCTATGCAAATACTCCATCCACCAAATGCGTTTAAACTCCTCGAGCGTCATATGCTTATTGAGGCTGTTGACATAAAATAAAATTAAAAAAAAATATTAAATGCCTATTTCAGTATCCTATGCTCCAATGGAGTATTTAAGTACCAAGGAATCCTTACATCTGGAACTCTGGAAACTGTTGATATCGCTCGAATTCTTCGATCCACTGGGCTTCTGTTCTAGGCATCTTTTCACCGAGTAGCTTCCAAGTCACCATAGAAAGTCCAGATTCTGTTAATCTTGTTACACCACCTATTTAGGAATGGGGTTTACGCAATTAATCAGCCTTTGTTAAGACAGTGGTTTTATTGGAAATATACAATGAGCGACGTTCTATTTGATTATCCAATTATCTATGAATATAAGAAAGCATGTGTGTACAGCTTGTAAGCTAAACCTATGTGATAAATAGTACCGAATGTGTAATTTTTATGTGCCAGAAGGTATTCAAACACCCATAAAACTAGTCGAAGAAGATCCTCATTTTCCATAAGTCTTATCCAGAACAAGTTGTAGGACTGTACGAATGCAATAGTAGAAAATGACATAGCCAAATGTACCTAATACTACTGCAATGAAGACCATGCCGCTACATGTGAGCATCCATGAGCCCACAATCTTATCGGACTTTGCACTCACTTTCGATGCATAGCTAACAGCAATGGTACCAGTTTGTCTGAACAAAGCTTGAATCTGTAATGACGTTAATTCATATAAAAACTGTGTAACACATTGTATCAAATGAGTCAGTATAGGAATACCTTTCCCAACTGTGATGGGACTCTGTGCAAAAATGTAAAGCTATTATTTGTCACTGGTTTCCTGGGTACAGTCGCAAACAGGGATCTGTTAACATGCTGTGGCTTTCCAAAGGTGCACCTTGTCACCGTTCTCGTACAGTATCTCGTTACATTCAACATTTTATTTCTGAAAGCCCAAACGAAATAAGTTAATGAAAGATTTTTACAAATTTTTAATAACACGTACTCAGTCTCTTAGCATGGGTAAGTGGACAGTATACCAATCTTCTGTTTCATCAAATGATCACTATTATTAATGTTTATATGATTATAAAATACTAAAAGTCCTAGAAAAACGTATCCTATTTACACTATTCCTTCGATCTTACACACTGTCATGAAAACTGCTTTGTGTTGCACGTAGCTCCAAAGCTGATCAGCTGATCAATGAGGAACAAATTCAGATCCCGCGAGAACTTTCAAACTCGAATTAACTTTTCATATTCCAATTCATACAATTGTTTCGAAAACGTGAATTAGCAATCATAAGAAATGAATGCAGAGATAAAATATAATCCAGTATCAATTCTCATGGAAATCAAGAAAATTATATTCCTTGAACAAAACTGTTCGACTTTTCCATTTGGTCACATATGACGAAGCAGCTTGGCTTTCTAAGTTCATCGTTGCCTCCGAAACCTGTACGTGGGATGGCTTGGTATCCAGCAACCATCTCTGGATAAAACGTGATATCGTTTGGTTAATCATAGTGAGTATTGAGTACTGTCAATAATTATCATTTGAACGACCGATAACATGTGATAAGAGTACGTTGGATCAACTATCGTAACTAATTCAAGTCCTCGACGTGGCTTATAGTACTTGATCCTTTGAAGAAATTTTCTCGGTTAACCTACACATCGTGTCTTATAAATCTTTTGTTGTTAAATCATTTTTTCGGAGGTTAATTTGGTGAAAGTTTTCTTCTAAATCCAGTAAAATGTCGCGACTTAGTGGGGCAATGAAGCTGGCAAAACTGAGAGAGTTGATGGAATCTGTAGCAGTTGGTGGGCTCAAGGCAAAAGGCATTCAAGCTGTGATAGTAAATACTGAGGATGCTCATCAATCAGAGTATCTGAGAGAGGCTGATGAACGTCGTAAATTTATATCTGGATTCAAAGGATCCCTTGGTACAGCCGTAATCACTGCCAATCAAGCATTACTTTGGACAGATGGACGATACTTTGCCCAAGCTTTGTCTGAATTGGATCCTCCAGAGGCATGGATTTTAATGAAAGAAGGTGTTATAGGAACACCTACACAAGCTGAATGGTTAGCTAAAAATTTACCGCCCAAGTCTACTGTGGGTGCAGATCCCAGTTTGTTGAGTTACAACGTCTGGTTAACATTGCACACAACACTAACAACTGCTGGTCATTCTCTACTTGCGCTGCAAGAGAATTTGGTAGACCAAGTTTGGGGTGACGAACGACCATCAATACCAAAAAATAAAATTGTGCCTCAAACATTACGGTACACAGGAAAGAAGGCTGGAGAGAAAGTGGAACTCTGTCGGGAAGCCATGGTGAAAAATGGAGCAACTGTTTTGGTAATAACTGCTCTGGATGAGGTAGCATATCTACTCAATCTTAGAGGATCAGATATTGCCTACAATCCAGTCTTTTTTGCATACGTAATCATAACGCTTCAAGATCTTCACTTCTTTGTCGACAAGTCAAGACTTACACCTGAAGCAGAGCGACAGCTACGCGACGAAGGCGTCAATCCCAAATTTCATTCTTACGAAGAAATGCGTCCGTTTGTGAAGCAACTAGCATCAACATTAACAGAAAATGATAAAGTATGGATTAATAACGAAGCGAACTGTGCGTTACATGCAGAGTTTGGTGACGTACGAAAACACACAGCTATCACTCCAGTATGTCTAATGAAGAGTGTAAAGAATGAAGTAGAAATCGCAGGCTTGAAACATGCACACATCAAAGATGCTGTAGCCCTGGTGAAGTATTTTGCATGGCTGGAGGATCAGATAAAAAATAAGGTTCTAGTTACTGAAATCTCTGGAGCAACGCAACTGGAAAAATTCCGACAGTAAGTTTTTGTCTAATATACATTTTATTTAAACACTGATTCAAGATCTTATACGCATTATTATTTCACAGAAAAGAGGAAGGATACGTAGGACTCAGTTTCAACACAATTTCCTCCATGGGAGCTCACGGTGCTATAATACATTATGCCCCATCACCTGAATCTGATATACCTATTACGGATGAATCATTTTATCTCTGTGATTCTGGAGCCCAATTCTATGACGGTACAACAGATGTAACGCGCACCTTGCATTTTGGCATTCCAACAGACTACGAACGTGAATGCTTTACACGTGTCTTTAAGGGGCAATATGCTCTTTCAACGGCAATCTTTCCAGTATTGCTAAAAGGCAACTACCTTGATACCCTGGCACGCAAGAGCTTATGGGATGTAGGGTGAGTTTAGGTGGAAACTTGATGTGATCGTGATTTGATTATTTTATAAATATTTTAGGCTGAATTATCTTCATGGAACTGGTCATGGAATTGGTGCATATTTGAATGTTCACGAAATGCCGATACATATATCCTGGAGACCGTATCCGAACGACCCTGGTCTTCAAGCCGGAAATTTTATTTCTAATGGTAATTGAATCCTCTGATTTATGACGTTCTTCCGTAAACGATTGTCTAATAATTCTTTTAAATATTAATGATTATAGAACCTGGTTATTACGAGGATGGAAAGTTTGGCATACGGTTAGAGAATATCGAATTAGTCGTGAAAGTAAACACACGCTACCAACGTGAAAATCAAGAGTTCCTTACTTTTGAAACTGTAACACTTGTTCCGATTCAAACAAATATTCTGGATATGTCTTTACTTACCCAAGATGAGGTATGTATATACATATAGTGATGTGGATTTTATGATACATCTTTTATTCACTGTATCATATTTTATTCGCAGATTGAGTATCTTAATCGTTACCATGAAAAATGTTGGAATATATTGAGTCCTCTTCTGCAAGGAGAGGATAATACACAAGCTTTAGCTTGGCTAAGGAGAGAAACGCAGCCCATATCAAAAGACTGTATTTCATAAGACCTAAATAATTTTTATATTCTGTATTTTTCTGGTTTGCAGTAATAATATATTCACGCCTGATGTTTTGCAACAAATGTTTTAATTCCTTTTTTTAACAATTAACTTAACATAGTAGCTGCAAAGTTATCTTTATTTATATTTAACTAGTTAATTTAATATTAAAACTTACAAAGATACACTGTACTATTTAGATTCCTTAGAGAACATTAATAATTCGATAAAAGATCTTCAATCAATGAATGAAATCATCGATGTTTTACAAACAATAATCTCTACCCTTTATATACAATTGTATTACTACATTAACGTACTTGACACTTAACTCTGTCAAGGAAACAAAAATGAATTAAATTTGTAAGAAAAATTACCAGGACAGCCAGGGTGGTTGTTGAAGTTTGTTTATAGGGGTGTAAGTGAGATTGACTGGTATATTGATTAAAGCAAAGGGCTTGTCCAGTTTTCTCAAGGTCTTACATATCATTTTGCCATTTTTTCCAAGAAGAAAACCAACTGGTATCCTCACAGGTTCCAATAGGTTGATATTATTGTCATGGGTCATATCTATGTAGTAATGGTCCATCCATAAAGGATTGGTACGTTCCTCTTCAGCAGATGCTGCATAGTAATCGGTGATGATCACAGCCTTTGCACCAGCATTCTGGCCTATGGCAGCTTTTGCAAGAAAAGTGCATTCTCCTCTTTGAACCAAAGCGACTCTTCCTTTCAACTGATCGGCGTTATCTGGCCGCCGACAGCCGGTAGCAGGGTTGCTCAAGACCAGTGGGATACCCCGTTCAGAGAAGCTCGTGTTCTAATCCAACTTATTAATTATTACTTTACTGACAATTACTAGATATTCGAGGATTCATGAGAATTATGCCTTGCTGTAAAAATAATTGTGACTTACGAAAGGAGCACCAAAGTCCATGGCAGGCCAAAGCCTGTACGTGTATTCCAGTTCGGGAGGATCAATTATCTCGAAGAAGACGTCCGAATCTCTGATTTCCAAAATTGATTCTGATGTCCGCCAATCCCTTAATTTGTTCCCTGTTGTACAAGTCTGCTCACGATATTTGTTTATGATAACAGTAAAATGACAAGAGACAAAATTCATAGGAACGAAAGTAATTTCAACCACACTTAGACACACGACATTAATTCATTAGTATCGCATAGAATTCATTAGTACCGTAAATATTTGGCGTCATAGAATTATTTTGCTAAAAATCGAAGGCAAGGGATGATTTTTTGTCATTAACCATTTCATTCCGTTAGAATTTTACGAACCTATTCCATCTGCATATGACAACCATGTCGTCAAAAGCATCAGAACGTAGAACAGGCCTATTGACTTATTCGGGAGTACTTGCGGTTGCATCTTGAACTGCATTATCGTTTCTTCTTCTTATATTCCTTTGTTTTACTCTGGTAAACTTTGACCTATTCCAAATGAATTCAACACTATTTTGCACTTCGTGATCACGCGCATTATGCTGCAATCACATTTTACTGAATCTTGGTTAGGTCATGGGTTAGGTTTGGTTAGGCTAGTCTCTCTGCGCGCTACCTTTCGAATCGATCAGCATTCAATTTTTAGATAGCCTTCACGGAAATATAAATAAACGGTATTTTTACCTTTTAATTGTGTGATACTCGCGTTTTGAGATATGAAGATGATTCAGGTTTTGTTGGCCATTTTTGGAAATGTGTCAGAAACGCGAAAAACATCCTTCACACGCGAGTAAATTCGAAAGTTATTATGAGATAAAACATAAGGCGTATAGTATTTGTCAATTATTATATAATTTTTGTTAGAATATGTTAAGAACATTTTGAAATATTTCAATCGCTCCAGTCTTACAAACTGTCCACAAGGAATGCCAAAATTAATCATAAAGATTCTCTCTCTCCCTTACACTAATGTCACGTATAAGAAATTCCTCAAAAACTCTAAAACGCCTTTCCCGATCAGTCAATTAATTAACTGATAAACCTAACGAATACACGAAATAGTTAATTTACAGGAAGCATCTCCAAGACAGTACATGCTTCACGCCTTTCAAAATACGCCCGTCCATTGCGTATGTTTTCAAGAAAATGTAACAAAATCCAAGAAAAGTGATGTAAATTGAAAAAAGAATGAACCAATGGAACGCAAAATTCGATCACAAGAGTATCATGAGACTAGTCAGGTCAGGTATTGCGTGATACAGTCGTACCAGAATAGTAACAACGTTCTTTCTCGTTCCTGCCTTCCTTCCTTTCCTTAGTGGTTTGCTCGTGGTTCCACCTTAGCCAGGAGATGTCCAAGTATCCTCGTGGTGGTGTTTAGTTGTGTTTCTGCTGCTAGGCCTCCTGATTGTAAAGGTAGTGCTAGGTAGTAGGCTGTGCGCAGGCGCAAACGGGCAGTGCATTTCATGAATGGATGAACGGAGTGAATGAACGCGAAGGAGTCGAACGTGTAGTTGAGTAAATTCGTATTTGCACAAGGAGGTAAGCAAGCAGCCAAGTAGGCAGGGGATTGGTTATCAGCTACAGGTTACGTGTTGCTAAATCAGATAGACAGAGAAAGAAGAGATAAGGACGCGCAGACACGAGCATAGAATAAAGACAGAGACTAAGGTTACTGCAGTGAGGTAGGTAGTCGACTGACGTTCAGCATGTACGTAGATCGTTCAGTGGCTGCGAGAGGGCTGGTGGGTTGGAGGGGTTGTATTCTGATCTCTATGAGCCTTGGGGGTGGCGGAACGACGCCCGCAGCGTCGACTGGGCGGTCAAGGGCACTAGCGTCGTGACGTCACACGGCGCTGCAGTGACGCAACAGTCGCCAGGGGCAACCTGGCTGGTGGCGGTCGCCTGGCAACCCTCTGACTCCCTCCTCGTACCCTTGCGCCTTTCAGCCCTCTTTCTATCATACACGTGCCGTTTCTCAATGAACGCTGCTCTCGTCGCCGCTGCCGCTTCCCCTGCTTCCACCACCGCGTTCATCCTGCGCTGCCGACGTCGTCATCCTCGATATCATCCCTGTACTTAACCCCTCGATTTCTCCTCTTCCACAAGTCTGCGTAATCGTGGTTTTACGTCACGCGCTAATTATTCCCAGCTTGTCGAGACCTTTTATGGAGAGATCGTCTTCGGGGAATATGTTTCCTTTAAAAAAGCTATTACAGGTCACATTAAAGGGTTACAATACTGAATTAAGAATGAGGGTGTACTCGTTACGAAACTTCCCGAACGTTCCATTGAAAACAATCCCAAATCGCCTTTTGTAATATTTGGGGCTAGGGACATACCTTAGATGTAATTTACCCTGAATCGACCTGAGGGTGGAACCTCGAGGGTTTTCAAGGTTTTCAAGAAGGAAGGTATAGGTCGATGAACCCCAATAACACGATCAGGGGTAGAAAATAAAATTGTATATTCTATTCGTGATACAAAACGATCCTCTGCCATACACGGCCTAGACTCGTATCGAATGATGGATCGGAGCTAGAAACGAGGTCGGTTAATCCAGAGTTCTACGGGGGGTATGCATCGGCCTCGTGTCGAAAAAGGATCCGAAGAGACTCCACTCACTGATGATAAAGAAAAATCTGCGTGGTCTGAACTCTGTCTATGGATACAACCTACCTACAACACACAACCAACCATTCAATCTTGCTCTTAGAATCTGATGAAGATTAGCTTCCAAGACTTAGGACTTACTTGGGTACAGCTGACATGAACTCGTCTATAGGTATTCATGGTATTCCTGGTTATCCGAGTAATCTGTAGATAGCTGTTCCATGTTTAACGTCAGCATTTTATCGCCGTTTACCAACAATCAAACAAAAGAGTCCGCCGTATTTCATAGCTAGGAATGATCGGACCAGTGCAAAAGTGCAGGGAGCCGGATCGAACAGACAGAATAGAAATAGAATACAGGAGCAGCGGGCTGTCTACCCCTGGCGATGTTGCATCGATCGTTCCCCGTAGACTGTTGGCGAGGTAGGTAAGGGTATGTCAAAGGTAAAACCGACGGGGGTGCACGCGCCGCCGTGTTTCTCTCAAAGCTCGCGTGGAACCCCGTGGGGCCTGAACGAGTATACCTATAGTTGAGCCACGAGCGAAGGAGCAACAGGTTTAATCGCATCGGGGTGTGGCAGGCTGGCTGGTAGGCTGGCTAGTTGGTTGACTGGATGGCTGGCTGACTGGTGGACTGGCTCGTTTGGTTGGCTCTCTGTTCGGTGGTTAAGATCGATGCGACACCAGAAATCGTAGTCAGGATTAATATTAAAAATTGAAATATCCTTTCAACCGGAAAGCTAGTACACCGGTCAGACTCGATTCCAGAAGGCAGTTAATCTGGCTCGAGTTACGAGGTCCTTCCAAAGTCGTTACAATGTCCCATCTGGAATTTTGAAATTTATCAATCTGGATCCCAGTACCGTTTTACAATTTTCTAATGTTTTCCTTTGCATACTTAGTTTTCGTTACCTCAGGATCAAATGATCTCCCCTGGTAGCTCTACTTGACCTGGCTATTTGAATTACTTTTATAGATTGATCTTCGATCAATATCGATCCTGAGGTGCTCATCGATTTCGGTTACGTTTGAGAGAACGAAATTTCACCACACCCACGTAACACTCGACTCACTTGGTCACCTCTCTTACCTGACTCATCGGACGTCCTACGGACGACTCTGCTGAACTTTTTGCAAGGGTTCCAATCGAGGATTGGAGGTGGAGCTTGCAGCGATGCGGGAAGGAGATTTTTCAATTTTTTTCGCACGTGCACAAAACTGAGCAAGAAAGAAAGGAAGAGAGAGAGGCAGGCAGAGAGAGAGAACAACCATAAACGTGTATATGGGAACCTGGTGATACGTATGTTCCTCGTAGATGAGTATAGGTGTGTGCGAGTACACGCTCCGTGAGGATTGGTGGGGGAAGCAGACCGATGACGAGAGGGAAAAGGAGAGCCAAGAGGAGAGACCAGAAAGAGAAGGAGGAGGAGAGGTGAGCGAGAGGGGCAGAGGGAGAGATCACCAAGTGCAGAGGAGGCCTCATCTCGGTCTTGGACCTATTTATAGACGTGCTCTCACAGCCTCACTCCTGCCCACTTCTTGCACTGTCTCTTATAGGTATAGCTATGTGCCATTGCACATTGTATACGGTATACAGTGTACAGTATACAGTGTACAGGGTACACATAGGGTGACCAAAAGTATTCGTTTCCACGTAGCGACACGTATCAATCGATGACTCCTGGCTCCACGCTAATCGCGACTTCCACCGATACACTTCTTTTTCTTCTTCACAGCTTTTCTTTTCTTTTCTTCTTTTCTCCACTGATACCTTAGATATATACCTTATTGATCATTCGCGAGTCGCCTATTGGAGATACACTCATCCGCGCACTCTATATACCTCCAATTGGTATTTCTAGACGTGAACGCGACGGGTCCGATTAAGTGTCGTTGTCGCGCGCGAAAGTGGTAGTCGGTCGACGCGGCCAAATTCCCGTGCTTCGCCAATTCCTTCACTCCGTCTACATTGCCAAAGGAAAATGACTCACTGCCAATAATTTGTCGTTTCTTTAGGAATGGCTTGACCCGAATGATCTTTGAGGTTTGCGCGACAATAGTCGACAGCTGGGAAAAACTGATTGTCGCCATAGACAAAGAGTCGCCAGCGCCTCTAGCTGCTGACAGAGGTACTAGAGAAAGGGACGGTTTGCGTAGAATAAATAAGTCATCGTGCGAATCATTGTTAACTTGTATTTTTGTTAATAATTATCGTAGGAGCGCCATTCTTGTTGCGTTCGCGCACATAGAACGACGACAACAACCGAATACAGGTAGTTGGATTGTTTTTCTCTTTTTTTTTCCTTTTCCTTTCTTTTACTTTTACGTGCATTGCACGTGGAGCACCATGTAGATTAATTACATTTAATTTACCTAACGATACGATAATATCATTTGTAAAAAAGTATCCTCTTGCGATATACATATATGTAACATGTAGGTACAGTACGGCTGTTCGCTCGATTTTTCATTTTTTTTATCTTTTTACTACTTTTTATTTTTTGCTCTTTCTCCACACTCCTTCGTAATGCACCATTGTGACTCGCGAGCGGCGGCAATAAAAAAAATAATTATTTAATTTTAACAATATATATATATATATGTGTGTATGTATATATATATCTTCATATATATACTTCGTGTTAATAAATAGAGCAACATATACATAATATTAATCTTCGTGAAATCATACACACGGGCGCACACACACGGGCACGCACACTCACATACACACACATGTGACAGTACGTAGAACTACTAGTGAAATTATCAAAAAAAGAAAAAAAGATCGACGAAGGGTTAAAAGGGGGTGGAATAGTGCAGGAAGGGGGGCGAAGGTGGGGGTGGATTGTTAGATGAGATTCGTGTGTGTTTGTGTATCACTGTGTGTCAGAGAAGGGTAACGTGATTTACAGTGTCTGTGGTCAGTTACACATATCCTATCTATATATATTTTTGTGTGTATATATATATATATGTAATAGCGTTATATACATATGTACAAAAGAATTTCATTCAACAACGATGATCACGATTAATTACAATTGGTGGGGTTTTCGGACGTCGTTACAAGGTGAATTGGTGGTAAATTAAGATTATTCGGAAGATATATTAATGAAGGGTTTGTTAGAATTTTTTTTTTTTCAGGGTGAATTGGGTGAGAGCTGATCGAGGTGTATATAAATCGTATGAACTCTCTGCATGCGGATTTTAGCGTGTCCGATACACGAGAAAAGTAAAGAACAATGTGGAGGTAAATATCCAAAAGTAAATGTACTTAAAGGTACAATTAGATAATAGACTAATTGTCAGTAGAAATAGAATGAGACTAATAGTAAGAGGAAGCGATTGCAAGATAACGCGATTGAAAGACACGAGGGGAATTCGGGACGTGAAAGACTTTCAAAAATTTTAAATAACGAGGAAACTCGTCCTCGGCGGCTGTATTATCGCCCTCATTCGTTTATCACTTCCGTCGGTCCGTTTAATCGCCGTACGAGTTCCTGGTGGAAGTCGATCAGCCACGGGAATCGCGATCTACGTACTCCTTCGGAGGAGGTGCCCCCCTTTCATCAACGCGCTATCGATTCGCAGTGACTCCTATAGTGCGAGCCAGCGAGTACAGTTGACCGATGACGCTCCGGGGGGGGGTGGCTGCGTCGAAAGGGGTAGTAGGTTAGTCGTGATCGTGACGCCAACGTCCATCCTGGATCGATGGGCGTGGTATCGCCCGATCTTATCGCCGCCGACGACGACGATCGATGACGAATCAGTCGGTGACGGTTCGTTCTCCGTCGGAAGGTCTCCGTCGTCCTATCAGCGTCGGGGAGGATGATCCTGACGATGTTCAAGGTGTTCAGAATTAAGCTGACCCGCCTCGGGCATCCTATTGATTGCACGGTGACGCCGCATGACTCTGGGGATGATTCGCGCGGGGGTTCGAATGGGCCCCGGTCGCCTCGCGCTTTAACCTTTGCTTCAGGTGGACCTTGGCGTGTCGCTTCTTCTCGTCGCTCCTTGCGAACTTTCGGCCGCACTGGTCGCAGCAGAAGGGTTTTTCGCCAGTGTGGGTGCGCACGTGGGTCGTCAGATGATCGCTCCTAGAGAAGGAGCGCATGCAGATGCGACACTGGAACGGCTTCTGACCCGTGTGGATGCGAATGTGTCGCGTGAGCTCGTCGCTTCTCGAGAAGCGCCTATCGCAGCCATCTACCGGGCAGGCGTAGGGTCGCTCGTGAACTGGAGTCTTGCTAGGCCGGTTGGGATACTTTCGTGGTTTAACGGGTACCAGCCTCAGTGGCAGAGCTGACTGTTGGTACACCTGAGTGAGAATCTCGTGGCCTTTCGAGGTGCTGGGATTGTATTCGGCGAGTTGAACTCCGAGGGTGCCGCTAGGGGTAGGTTGCTGCTGAGGTTGCTGCTGCTGAGGTTGTTGCTGTTGCTGCTGCTGCTGTTGGACATTGGCCGTGTATCCGGTCGTCGCGGTTGGCTCCTGCTTGAGAGTGGTCTCCTGGTGGTGATGATGGGGATGGTGATGAGTGAGGAGGCCGGGGTCATAGGTCTCCTCGTGCGCGGTCAACCAAGTGGTGGGGGTCGATGAGGGGGTATCGTGGTACCCAGGCGGGGGTGGTGGCGGTTTCGATTCGACCTGGAGAAGTTCTACCGTCTCGCCGCCGTAGGGAGCCGAGTGCAGCGAAGGGTGTAGGAAGGGTTGTCCTGGTAAGGTCAGGGTCGGCGAGGGTAGCGAACTCCAGAGCTCCTGGCTGCTGGACTGCTGTTGAGACTGGAGGCTATTCAGAGGCGAGGACTGGGTACAGGTCGTTGTGAAGACGCCTCTGTAGGTGAGCGTCGGTACGTTACATATATTGACGCTAGTGGCTGGTGCGGAGGACGAGACGGAAGTAGCGGAATGCGGCGCGGAATAGAGGATCACTCCACCCTGCAGCACGTTGCACCGATCCTCTTGTTCCTGGGTATGATGTCGGGGGGGACTGCCTGAGGTAGGAGCATTAGATCCATCTTGGCCGTCTTGATGCTGCTGCTGCTGCTGCTGCTGTTGATGGTGATGATGATGATGATCCCTGTTGGATGCCGAGGCTGCACTCTCATCCTCTTCAGCGGCTGCCTCCTCGAGCGAGAGATCATCACCTGCAAGACTGCCTGTAACAGGAGATAAGGATCGACCTGTATTGAGCACCGTCGTCAACATCGTCAACATCGTCAACATCGTCGAGCAGGGATTCTGAGCGCGAAAGCGCAACAGGAAGCTTCATGATAATGGGGGATGTCTTTATCGCGAGAACAAATGCACGCCCCGCGTCGGCCAGCTAAGCTATCTGTCCTCTACATCCTGCCGTTTATATACTTCCTTCCCATGTAAACGATTAAATTCACAGAATGAGAGGAAACGAGAGAGAAGGAGAGCGAGATAGAAATTGGGAGAACGTAAATAGAATCGCGTCGCGTTTTAAGTTTCTATCGTTCGACGTTTATTCCAAGAGAATTCGCGAGAGCCATTTCAATGAAATCGAAAGAGCCTGAGGAATGAGATAACAGTTCGTCTTAACTGTACAAACTTGGCCACAGCATCCCTACAATCTGTTAAAATCAGAACGTGAACCTGCCAGGATGAAAGCTGCGATAGCAGTAGCGCGCGCTCGTTTGTTTCACAGGAAAAGCGGGGTGGAAGTCATGAACGTGGGTTGGAAGCGACGGGCTATCGTAGGTAGCTTCGCCTGGGGCAAGAGACGTCAGGGGTGGCTTGAAGCATGAATGAACTGCAGAACGGTGGGAGGAGGTCGAGGAGGTGGTGGTTGAGGTGGTCGAGGGGTTCGTGGGGGCTGGAGGAGGAGGAGGAGGAGGACGAGGAGGAAAAAGGAGGAGGGCTTCTGAATGTCGGGGTCGCCGAGTATTGATCGGCGTAAAGCAGGAGCTCCGATATTAGCCTTTTCGCGAACGAGATATACGTCAGCGGAACCTCGTGCGCGTTCCGAGAAGCGGTACCGGCCTGATGGCGCGAATCCACCGATTTGGAGGGTACCGCCAACGCCGGGCAAGATAATAGAATCGGAGATACGATGACGCGATGCAGGTCGTCACAGCGACGACAGTGACGCTAGTGTTCGGTTGGGTTAGGTCGAGCTGAAGAGCAGGACAACAATAGGAGTTTGTCTAGAGAGTGGAGGAGATAGGTACCTGAGATCGGTGGTGGTTCGACGAGAGCCGAGGGCCCGAAGAAGGAGGGTAGGTCGCTGCTCGTGGTGACGGGGGTGTTGAGGTCACCAGGCTTATCCTTCTCGGAGACATCCTGAAGATCCTCGTGACAATTCCTTGAGCAGTCCTGGTCGTCGTCGTGTTCCTGGTGGCCCTTGATATCGGTGCAGGCGACGACCGACGAGGAATTGTTGGTGGGATCACCGGGGGAAGAGGGCGTCTCGGCGTGCCGATGATGCTCGTCGAGTCGATGATGATGATGATGCTGATGGTGTCTAGGCTGATGATGATGATGATTCGGAGAGTCTCCGGTGGACGCCTGCTGATGCTGAGGATGCAGCGGAGCGCACGAGACGAGAGAGAGCGAGGGCACGGGTTTGTTTGACCCTGTAGACGTTGAGGATGTCGTCGCGGCTGGGGATGCAGCCCCACCGGAAGACGCGGAGGCGTAGGTGAGGCAGGCGTCGAAGCTTAGTTGGACCGTCTGAAGGTTGAAGGTCGCGTGATGGTGATGATGATGGTGATGGTGATGACCGAGGGGCGGCGACGAGAGCAAGAAGGGGCTGGTGGCGGCCGCGTGTGGCTGCGAGCCCACCACTTCCATCCCGTCCATCGTCATCCTCTGGAGCTGGTCTCCTGGAGCGTCCTCGGCCGCGCACGTTTCCTCGCCTGTGGTCGTATCGTTCAACGCAATTATTATAATCGTCCTGGCGGCGAGCACTCCGAAAAATACTTTAAGTCTCGTCCTTGTCCTCCGATTTCTCAACCCTTGTCTCCTTCGCTCAGTCTCTTGTCCCTCTCTCCTTACTTCCTTCTCTTCTACGCTAACGCCTTCCTAGTACCTCTCTCTGCCCGTATCGTTCTCTTTCGGGATGATCATGAGGATCGCGAATTCTGCGCCTTGTCACTGGGTTAATAAAGCACACTCCTGGAGAAGGCTCGCACGTCGCACGTTAACTTCCTCCCACGGGCCAGGACACTGCGTCCTCGTGGCGCTGGCACCGCTAGGATATAGCCTCCCGATGAGAGAGAGAGAGAGAGAGTTCGTCAGAGCGACGCAACCTCTACAGGTACACACGACAGCTTGACACGAGCGGTCGTCGTCTGGCGCGAGCGACCTGGACGACCGACCGACCGACCGACCGACCGGCCGAACGAACGAACGAGTAAACGTGCGAACGACGGACGGACGGACGGACGAATAGATGCCAGAAGCAGACGATATGGCTGCCCGTTTGCGTCGACTTCACTCTTCCTTTAAGATTTCTCCTGTCCGTCTATCTCTCTCGCTCGCGTGTATATCGAGTGTGTCCGTAGCAGGCGCGTGGGTGTCCCGCCTTAATAACCGGGCAAAAAGAAAGACCGCATAGGCGATGCGGCTCCTCGGCTGTTCGCGCGCGTGTGACAGAGTCACCGGAGGAGTGAGCGAGCGAGTGAGAAGGAGAGTGAGACAACAGGAGGGAGAGAGCGAGAGAGAAGAATGTATGCGTGCTCGTGTGCCGTCGAGGATACAGGATGTAAAGGACGCGCGATGCGTGGGGGTCGCGCACGAACTGAGCCGAGCCGCGGCGCGCCCCGTAGTTTTATGAATGGACCACGGAGACTGTCCCATATTTGGAAGCGCCGAGCGACCGCCAGCCAATCCCCGCTCTTGGTCCCTGTCTATGTATGTATGTATGGCTGCCCGCCTGCCTTGCTCTCGGCCGCCGCCGTCGTCGTCGTCGGCGTCGCCGTTCATCCCCACCAAGACCCCGAGGAGATCCCCTCCACGAGAGCAGCAGCAGCAGCCAGCCATCCGAGCACGGTTCCCCGAGCCCCTCTTCGGCTTCTATCGGGCTATCGGGCTCTCGGCCGCGCGCGCGGTTCTCCAGTGACGTAGAAAGCCGTGACGTAGAGCCGCGGCGCGCGCCCGATCCCACACCACGTCGAGGTATCTACGTGACCGTTCCTATCCTCGTCCTGCGTGGCCAAGTACCGACCGTTCGCTCTCTCGCTCTACCTCGCAATCAAGCAGCCGATAAGCCCTGCGTAACGCAGGCTTCTATGCGCCGCCACCTTTCGTCACGTTCGCAAGCAAAGACAAACGTGAGCTACGTCTTTGCATCCTCGGTGACAGTCCAGGTCTGTCGTCTGTCCGATCTGACACTCTGCCACTTTGCCCTGGACTACCTTGAGCTACCCTGAGCTATCCTGACCCAGTCGCACGTGCGGCCACTGTGTACATGAAAAACCTCCCTCTCATAGTACCAAGTGCTTCTGCATTCCTCCTGACTTTCACTGCTGTTTCGCCCAGCCCGACCAGCTCGTAGCTCATAGTCAGAGACAACCATAGCTCCTCATCTCCCTCGCTCCGATCCAGCAGCCGCACGCAGTCGGAGCGAGAGTGCGTGCATCTCCATGAATGGCGCATTTGCCACTGATTGACTCTCGAGCAGTCTCGAGAGGGAGACCAACGGGCGAATGCCAGTATAACGATTACGAGGACGCGCGTGCCGTTCGATCGCACGCACCTCTCGGCCCACGCACCCACGCAGACACGCTCCTCTCTGGCGGAGAAACAGACATAGAGGGAGCGAGGGTTTGTTTGACTACGCAACCACCTGATGCCCTATTTGGGCTCCCGCGCCATGCCTCCTAGCATAACAGAGCGCAGACCGCGCGCACGCAACGCGCCGTAGACCAGCCAGTTCAGCCACGCGCCTTCACGACGCGCCGCTCACCGCCGGCATCGAATGATCTACCCATCGGGAAGCATCGTAGTCCAGCATCGCTTTCGACGTCGCGACCACAACCACCAGCGGCTTAGCCTCGGCGTCTATAGGTAGCATAACAAAATCTAAATTTACCCCACATCGAGGTGGTGGGCGCGGGCTATTCGCGTCGCGAGTCGCGTTAGGTTTGCGCGGGCGAGCGACTCTATTTCGAGACGCCACGCAACCACCTGAGCCCAGCATCCCCAAATACCAACATGACTGTGTGTGCGATTACGGAGCGCGTGCAGATCATTCCTATCTCTCTCATCTTACCGAGGTACCCCTCCCGTTCTCTCTATGACCAATGACTCACGAATAGCATCGCTGAATTTTCGTTAAATTCACTGCCGTCTCCTTGGCCCCTTTCCTTCGGTTAGACTTTTCCCCCGAGTCGTCATCCTCGAACGTCGATAGACCCAAGTACGGTTACTCCTCGGAGTCCTGCCGATGTCGATCGATCGCGCGTGCCAGGAGATCCAGTAGGAAGGATCGAAGGCAGTCACGATCACCCGAGGCCAATCATCGTCCCTACGTGTTTACCCACCTGCAGCCATTATGGCTACTGGTCTTCTACAACCTATACTTTTTCACTTATTTAACTATAAAATAACCGACCTCCTTGCACGCAGAGATCTCCGAGGCAAACAAGACATATCGATCTTCCCACGGATCGACACAGTCCCCGCTTAGCTCCCTGACGCTGGTCAGGATCGACTGTTGAGAATTTCGAAAATCCTCAACGCCGACTGTGCAGCCTCCGATCTCCCGACTCCTCACGCGTGACTCTCGTGAATACGGTAGGTTGTCCGGCTGTCGTGTTCACCAAGAGGCTCCACGCATCGGTGCCCGCGGCAAACAAGCCGGCGAACGTTTCAACGAGTAAACAAACGCGCCTCGTAAAACGGGCGCCCGTTAAACAGCCCGGTCTTATCCGATCGACTATTTTCTTTTACATTCCGTCTATCTATGCGAGTACATATGTACGTATCTACATATGCTCTCGTTATCGGGCCCTCACCCAGTGTCTATTCTCCACGCGCTAGGATACACATATAGTAGCGATCGCTCACGTGACACGTGACTTATGGGAAGTACCTGCTGATTGTTGACGAGGAAAAAGAAAAATATCGATAAGAGAAAACGAGAGAGAGAAAAAACGACGAATCGACGCGTTGAGTCGGTGGCGTTGCGCTCGACGTCAAAACCTCTGGAGAGGCGTCGCGCGTATAAAAGCTTATCGGAAACGCTGACGTAGGCCACGTCGCCATTGATAGACGATAAACGTCGTTCCGCTGTGCCACTGTGCACTATTACTGCAGCTACAGGTTAGCGCAGCAGGTCGGAAATGAATCCTTTTCTTATGATAGAAATTGCCATGTTTATAAGAGAGTATATATATACGTATACACAGAGATCGTTCTACGAGTCGTTGATTAAGGAGAAATTTCGAAACTTCGTATCTGAATTTCGTCTGACTTGGTACTGAAATTGATATCGGTGGAGAGACTTGTGCAATGTCGTGGCGCGACGCTAGAGACGTTAGAATTTATATGTAATGCGCTGGACGCGTTATATCGGTCCGTCGATGACGTAGAGCGGCGCTCGTCACGCCGTCGACGATTTTGGCAACGATGACGAATTTCACGATCGTAATCGCTGGTCGATTACGTTTGCGAATTCGTGGAACTTTAAACGTTGATCCACGAGGTCTTTTATTTCTCAGGAATAGCGGGCTCTGTTTTTCTCGGCGTTTTTACTCGATGACTCGCGTCGCGATTATTGGCGGAAGACCGTCGATGGTTACGTGCATGGCCATTTACGATCGAGTAAACTATTTCCGGCTAGTCGATGGTCTATGTTGTTCCATATTGTTAGGTTGGCAAGAAGAAATTATGACGGTTGGTCTGTCGTGGTCGGGTATAAGATAGTCGGAGTAATGAGTCTTTCTTAGTGGCGGTAATTGGCCGGACTACGTGGCGAGGATGGATCGCCACATTGGGAAAGATTAGCTGGAGCGTCGAGAGATGCGGCGAAAAGGGGAGACGGAGGGGGAGGAGAGAGAATGGTAGGGCGAATCAAGGGAAGCAGGAGGGAGCGGACGGAAGCTGGTCTCCAATTTCATTCCTACAGTCGCAAGAGCCTTCGTTCGATACTTTAGACTTTTTTTTTCTTCACCAGGATCGATAAGACACAGACTCTGCATAAAGTCAGGATGCGCAATTTCCACACCTGTATAGAATACGTAGAGAACTGGTCCAGGATTCTTGGAGAAGGATCTCGACTCAGGAGAATCGAGAGAGTCTCTGGCAGAGCGAAGGTGAATAATAAAGAGAAGCCAATGGGGACTGTCGATAAAGTCCCGTGTTCGGGTGCCGAGGATTTCTGAGTGCAGCAACTGCAATCGCCAGAGGAACCGGCCTGGTCGACTTGTTGCTGGTTGCTCGGCTGAACGCGGGTCCGACGGCAGGAACGGCAGGAACGGCAGGACTGTAGGATTGCGCTGCACGACGTCCAGTCGTAGACACACCCATGGAATACCGGAGTCACACGCGTATGCCGAACCTCCCTGACTATAGAGTGCACTCTACCCTCGATTCTCGATCGGCCGCGATTGGGAGAACGATCGGTAAGGATCGGACGAGCTTGTGTCGATCATGTTGGGAAAATTGTGGGGCGACGAGAGACAGGCGAACGATTAGAGAAAACAGTCGTGCGTGGAAGGAGAGACGAAAAGGGCAGAGAGAGAAGGACGAAGAGAAACCGGGCGAGTAACAGACGACAATGGAGAAGCAAGAGGGCGAAGGGTAGTACTAGATCAGAAGTGCAGGGGTGGGTTAGGGTTGACGTAAGATCGGGAGTTTGATCGAGAGAGGATTTACCTGTCGGTGGTGGCGGATGGTGATGATGGTGATGGTGATGATGATGGGGGTAGCCAATTGGCGGTGGAGGAGGTGGATAGACGGCACCCCATATACAGGAAGCCGCCGAGGCTCCGGTTGACGCCTGGTGCTGCTGGTGTTGCTGCTGCTGCTGATGTTGCTGCTGCTGCTGCTGCTGTTGCTGCTGTTGCAGGAGCTGTTGGACTTGAGCTATGTCCACAAACTCCTGAAGTTCGCCCTCGCCGTCAGGTGCGGCTGCACCCTCGCGCACGCGTCCCTCCGTAGGCTGGATGCCGGAAAACGGATTCTGCTGGAGATGCTCGAAGCCCGCGAGAGGATTCGCAGGATCGTAATTGCTGCGTCCAGTCGTGTGTTCGCGTCGCATCGCGAGCGCCAGCATCTTTTCAACTTGTCGTAGGACTCGGATCGACACCCTTCGACCTTCCTCGTGCCTGCTTTTCCTTTTGCTTTACCTCCTTCGAGGAGAGTTGCCGATCCCAACTTCGATTCCGCCTCCGATGCCGATTCTCTTGGGGACGACGTAGTAGCTGGGGTTGGCTTCGCTGTCTCTTGCAGATATCCAGAGAAAGTGGCACCGAGATTCTATAGCACATGACACAACCACCGATACTAGATGCGGCGACGGGTCATCCCGTCGCCAAAGCTCCTTGCTTCTAATTCTGATCCCAATAGCTAATCTTTCTCTTTTGTTTCTCTTTCCTCTGGTACAACTGCTCTACGATTCACAGATTCACTCGCGAGTCTGCCTCGGTAGGTAGAGGCGGCGCCGTTTTCTCCGTTGACCCGCGAGGGTTGAGAAAGCAGGCCTTCTGGAGAACGATCGGAGGATCACGTAACCGGAACTGAACAACTGATCTCACTGGGACCACTGGGGGTGAACGCGGAGTGGACGTCGCACTTACGCGGACGCGGCCGATATTGGCACTGATTGGAGCGCGAAGACACGAAAGAGCAACAGGAGTCGGAGTCGAAGAGGCGCGAATGGTATTGTTTGGCGGGACGAGCGGGTCTATGAGTCGCCGGGTGGACGCGGCCGAGCGAGGATACGGGAACGCGGGGCCCAGCGAGTCGGACAAGACAGTCAGGCAGTCGGGCAGGCAACCAGGCAGCCAGGCAGCCAGGCAGCCAGGCAGGCAGGCAAGGGTTTGCGATGGTCCGCGCTAGACTAATAAAGTGGCGAGCGCGAGAACTCCTCGGAGCGTCGTGCTCGTGTGCTGTGGCCCGGCGAGACGAGAGATTTGCCAACGTCACGTGTCGTCGACATCACCCTGGGGTTACTCTCGATACTGTTGACGGTGGTTACCTATGCGAGAGAGCCTCCTCCTTCTTGGCCTCCTCACTCGAGCCATCCGTCTCTCCCGCATGGTCTGCAATCTCCATTCATTCCTTCTCCGTGTCTCCTCTGCCTCCTCTCCATCGAGAGAGAGACTCCTCTCTCTCCTCCGCCTCACCCCACCCCACTCGGATCTACTCCACCTCCTCCTCCTCCTCCCCCTCCCGGGAGCCCACCGACCCGCTCGCCCGCGACAGAACCGCTTACACGTATGCACACAGCCTCTCGGACCCATTACACAGGCAGCGTTCGCCGAGTGACGTCATCGGCGTGGGCGCACCCCCACACGACTCGCTCGGTCTCTCTCGCACCCGTTTAACTACAGCGCCTACCTCCCTCGTGGGCTCTCCCTGCGTCCTTTCGCTCGCGCTCTCTCTCTCTCTCTCTCTCTCTCTCTCTCTCTCTCTCTCTCTCTCTTTCTCTCTCCCCCGTGTTCTTTCTTTTTTGTCTCTTCTGAAAGCTCGAGAACTTTTGTGGAATCGCGCGCGGGTCCTGGACCGAGCGTACCTTACGACCTTGCGATCCTCGACGGCGTCAGCGTCGTCATCGACGCCGCCCCGTCACCGGAGCGACCAGAGGATCTCCTCGTCTGCCCTCTCCTCTCCTCACCACCCTACGCCCTTTTCTCATCTCTTGTTTTCTCTCCGTAAGATGCGCACGGATCTTTGCTCATGGTCCTGCAGGACGTTGAACTCGAACGGCGGACCCGGGAAATTTTTCCTTACGAAGCTTTACGAGGGTGGGATACTCGGTACCGTTTCTCGGGCGGATCCGGAACCCAGGATCGCTGATAATTTGGCAATGGACCCGGCGATAGAGAATGGCTTCTCCTGGCGAGGATATAAAGGAATTGGCATAGGCGGTGGAGGTTCCGAAAGCACCCCACAGTGGAATGGAGTGGCTCTCGTGCTCTTGGCATGACCGAATAAAGATACGAGGTCGGCTGGCCGTGGCTGAAAGGAAGACAGAAGGAGGGACGCTCTCTTGGGGTAGGGTCGGAGTAGGGATAGGGGCGATTGACTCAAACGACGACGACGACGACGGCGTCGGCACACGCCATATCTGGCGAGACTATCCTACGTGGGCTAAACCACCTCAGCTTCTCACCGCCTCGCCTCCCGACTCGCGAGCAAACACACCTTTTTAGTGGCATTACATTAATATTGTAATAGCCACGGCCAGATTAAGCCCGTACGCCGCTCTGGCCACTGCCGACCACTCTGAGTCTCCTCCAGATCCTTCTCTCTCTCTTGTTCTCTCATTCCCTCTCATCGGCACTCCTCCTCACTCCTCACTCCTCTCTTCTGCTTTGCTTCTTTCCTGCTTCGCTATATCTTCGTCTACCTCGCTGCGTCCTCCTTGCGCCACACCCGGGGGGCCCTTCGTCTCGAGAGTCTGTTTAAAGCCGTAATTTGTCTTCCACGCGGAGCATTGCCACGGATTTCAATGGGCGCGCGCCAGCACACGCACTCTCGAACAGAACTGGCCTTTCGGAAATCGGAAGAGAATACAGGCAGCAGGGGTTGCCATCGGTTACTCAACTCCGAGTCGAGCCATACGCTTTATCTAGGTACCACAATAAGAGACCAAGCAAGAATCCAAAGTGGACAAGCAGCGAGTGACCAAGCGAGTAGGTACTCACTCCCTGGGATACATAATTCGAAATTGCTGGAGGTCAAAGAGCAGGGCTCGACTACTTGAGCGAGTTGACTCTGTCGGTCCTCGGGGTCACGTGCCACGGCTTCACGTCGTCCTCGAGTTCGCCTTCGTTCTTTTCCCCATAGCGATTGCGACTAGTCGAAAAGGTATTATCGGCGACCCAGCGCCACTCTCGTAATAATCATAACTCTAGAAGAAGCAAGGATGCGTCTTCTGGCTCGTAGGAGCGGCGGCTCCTGAAGAACCGAGCGAAGCTGACCTCATCGGATGTGGCTCTGATTTGCTCAATTCGCTCCAAGTTACGGCGGCCCCGGCGTTCCCGAGTTTCTACGTTGCTACACGTTGCTACGTTGCTGCTATACATTCTTACATCGCTATACGGTTTCTCGGTTCGCGCGCGTCCGACAGGCTTCTGCGCATGCGCGCACTCGTGTCCACCAGCGAGACACTTGCATAGAAAGGAACCTACACGATTGCTATCGTCTTTGCCTCATTATTCCATTATGATGGCGTGTGGCGTGTGCCGTGTGTCCCTCGTACCCCCCGTACTCGATTGGCCCTCCTCGTCCTGGACATATATAGGAAGACACGAGCATACAAGATGCGCACACCCAGCTGGGACACACCGTCCGGACGATGATGTGCGTGATATTACGAAGTACGTGGACCCGGGAGGCTTCGCTTCCCAGAGACTCTCAACGGGGTCCACTATGCTCACGTGGACTTCCTGCTGAGGTGAATTAGCATCCCTCGTGCTCAAGGAATTACATATCCTGGAGAGGGGGAGGACCAGATAGTACCCAAGTGTTACTCAAGATAATGCTGTCCCTGTATGTACTTACTAGATGCCTCCGTCTATACGTATACACAGTATGGCTATAATGCTAGCGTAGACTTTAAGTTTCTTAAGTCGATTCGTTCCTCCCTTTTATTGGCGAGTTGAGTGGCTCTGGAACATTAGAAGCAATTGAAGCGGATGCGCCGCGACGCTAACGGTGTCGCGCGACTTCCCCGATGGAAATCGAACGAGTTCTCACGGGGACCTGGTCCTGGAACGATCACAGCTCGGGGTACTGTAGATTAGAATAGAGAGAGAATATAGATAGCGCGTATGGCGAGGAGAAATACGTTAAGGTGAAGAGAGAGAGAGAGAGAGAGAGAGAGAGGAGCCGCACAGTGAGAGTCCCTGATGGAGAAGCCAAAGAATGGTCCGAGGATGAGAGAAGACTGCAGAGGGCCTGAAAGAGTATAGAGTAGAGGATAGTAGAGTAGAGAGGAGCACTGGGAGAGGAGAAGAGAGGAGAAGAGATGAGAGGAGAGAATGGGCACGCGACATGAGTTGTCCCACGCGCTTGGCCGCGCGTTCTGGCTACGGGATGCTGCGGTTATATACGTGAGGCCTGCGGTCTCGGCAAATGAAATCCCGCAAACAAGAGGAACTCGTATCAGTGGTGGATCACAGGGAGTAGATCACCGCGTTACGCGGCAGCTGATCGAGAGTAGCCTCCACGGGACAGGGGAAGAGGCCATTGCCGATTGGCGAGTTGCAAAAATCCGCCATTAAAATTCCTATCTGACTCCTCCCATCGAGTGACTCGTCAGCGATCGCGAACGATCGAACTACGACGGCGCAGACTTTTAGCGCCGATTTTCGTCGATCTTTCGCAGAGTCGGGAATAGGAGGGAGGCTAATTCGCCTTGCATTTACCCTTATTTGGACTTCCGTGCGTTGATCTTGCCGAGTGGGGGAGAACATGGGTGGCAACACACGGAAACACCAGGCCCAGCCTCAGCTGGTTCCTCGTTCTCCAGAGTCCGACTACCCTGGCCACGTTCTCAATTACCAATGATCATACCGTAGCCATACCTACCCAATCTAGTATTGGCTACCTCCCTTTCCCGCTGGTCCTCTCGTCTCAGGATCACCAATGTGATTCTCCACCTACTCCCTCTTCTTGTTGCTTCTCATGGAGGAATCATCGGACGCGATTTCGGTCTCCTCCATTCTGCCGCCTATTATCTCATCCAGGCGCCGCTTCTCTTCTCAACGATAAACGAAGAGGGCCTGAGGTACCACCGTGTACCCAAATCTTGGCCATACTCGGAAATCCTACCAATGAATATCTTTTAATATATTCTACCTCGTGGATGAGCCATCGATACGCAATACTGATCTTGCGATATAACATAGCCATGCTTGGTCTTGCAACCAGAACCTCAGGACAGGGAAGCAAAGACGCTTCTACGTTAATCTCCTTCGCGGGATACATAACGCGCATCTCCGTCAGGCCTAGACCTCATTGGAATCCTACCGAACAGCCTTCTATCTTGCGGGACACAGCTACGAGCAGCCTATCGCAGTGCGCATTGCTCCATTAGAAGTGCCGTTTAATTATGCACGCTAATGATACCGCTTCGTTCATCGATTCGTTCGCCTCGATGCCGGGAGGCAATCGGGCTTCCGGTGCGATTCCTCGATGCAATCATCGAGCAACTTCATCGCGACCGCTTCGGTTCTATCGTTCTCCTTGGAAGCTTCCTGGGAGACCAGTCAACGTACGCGCACTGCATCTTGGGAAGTCTAATGAAAACGCAATGGAGACGTGGACGTAGCGGTGGCTTCCTCGTTGCTGGGTCTATCCATCTTGAGCACGTGCAGCTTTATTGGCCACGGCTTCCCTTGCCAGGAAGCGCACAGAGAAGACCCGACCGAGAATAGTTTTCACACGTCTCGCCGTTAATTGATATTCCGTACCCGAGTGAGCGTCTTGAGAAAAAGGTTTAACGATCCTAGCAGAGAGGGGAATCGAGAACGAGTCAGTAAACGAGTGTGTGTTCAAAGGGATAAGGAGGAGCGAAGGAGAACGTAATAGGAGGAATAAGGAGGGAAGAAAAAAAAAGATGACTCACCGAAGTCCACGCGAATCTTAACGGACGATGCTACTGAGGTCGTCGCAGGGCCGAAGGTGCAGCAGGGTCCTTTGCTCAGGCGTTCGTTGTCCGACCCTCGATTTTAGTACGGATCATCATCAGGAGAAGCAGGTTCCCGTAGCTGCGAGACGGACGGATTGTTTCCGGTAGAATAAGAGCGACGGCCACTCCTGCTCTCGTGGCTTAATTCGATTTCGTTCTGGCCATTACGTCCTCCTCGTCATCTCCTCTTTATCGCCTCTCTCATCCTGACGTCTCTGACTCGTTAATTTTTTTTTCCAGTCAGAGAGAGCGACAGAGACAGAACCCCCGAGACGTCTTGATCGGATGAACTCCTGTTCCCGAGGTCCAGACTCTCTGAACTAATCATGGAACCACTACGATCACGTACTCACCTACTTGCGTGTACCGACTTATGGCTATATTCACGCTGTTGCTTGGCTGTACTCACGTGTTGCACGCGACCAACAGACTCCCAGATCTCGATCTCCATTATCTCTTCTCTCTGAAAACTCGATCGCGGAATCTATCGTCCGTAACGAGGAATCCAATTAGAATTTGATACGCGCGGCGCACGCGCCGAGGAGGATCGAATGGACGGACCGACAACGATCCCGGTTCAAATCACGTTGGGCCCAGCGGCTGTGTCGTTCTTTTATCTTTTTTCATTATTTTTTTATTTTCTCCTCTCTTCTTTCAACATTTTTCTCTCTTTCTCCCGAGTCCACCTATCTCTGTCTCTCTATCTGTCCAAAACGCAACGTAACGCACGTAGGTACCTATATACATTATATACATCGTAGGATAGGAACGCCGTACGGGACCGGATGTGATGCAACTTATGAATGGCACGACGAACGGGTTACGTTAAATTTTCGACTTTCCAGGCGCATTCGAGGAGAGAAGGAAGAGAGTAAGAGAAGCAGATACCATAGAAGGAGCGAGGTAGGATAACAAGAGAGTTGGCCAAAGAGACTCTAGGAGGGACCGTGAGGAGGAAGGGGACGTTGGACCAAGTCGTGTTCATCCTAAGTCAAGGGGGAACCAGAGATGCAGAGGGAGAAGAAGAGGTTAAGAAGTATACACCTAATGCTCGGGCGAACGGGCAAAAGGGAGAGAAGATTATTGAGTGCGAGCGAGAGAGAGGTAGACTAAACGCTGGTCCAGGCGCGTGGGATGCTGGTTGCAGTTAGGCTCGTGCCTACTCCCTCTACCGGCCCTCTCTCCTCCTCTCCTCCCCCCTCCACCTCTCGGCCTCTCTGACTTTGAATACCGGTCGGTTCTCGGTTCTCGCTTCTCGAGTCTCTGGCTCTCTCAGGAGTGTGTTGGTCCTCGTAGTCGGCTGGTCGCTCGGTTCGCTACATAAGCGCGCGCGCCAACCACTTGCATACATGCACATATGGTACACACGCAGGAGGAGCAGGGTGTCCGTACGCTCGTTTAATGTATGTATGGTATGCTGTATGTAGATAGATTCGGATGCTGCGTGGACCAGTCTCGGGGCGAGCTAACGCTATACGGGCGGACAATGCGAGAGGCCTGCCACACCTCTTTTCTTCCTTCTTTCCATCTCTCGACATCGACTCGACTCCGGGCTGAAGCGACGCGACGCGCCCTTGCAGGATATCCTGCGTCTTCGAAGGCTGCTGCATCCTTCTTCCTTTTATCCCGCTACGTATTCGCCAGTCTGCGCGTGCTCCCTCCGTAACCTTTCAAGAAGATCTTGAACGGGACGTAGCTGTAGGTCCAAGTTCGAGGTGAGTTCAGGGACGCCTCCATCGGAAGGACCAGGTCGACTTGGATGACGACGTCGGAGTAGTCTGTTGACCTGACGCAGACAAGGCAGGAGCGTCTAGGCGCGTTTGCCGTGGCCAAACATAGTCAACCGGGAATGATCAATTTATGAATGAATCGACGCCACGGTGAAAGTCTCCGGCGGACGCTCGACGTTCGACGCCTGATGTCGCAAGACTCGCGATACTGATCTACGAGGTGGATTATGGTAGTCGCGATGATAACCTTGAAAACATTACGAAGTCCCAGGTTGATCCTAGAAGACCTGTCGCTGCTGTCCTATGAACCTGATGAGGAAGGAGCCAGGATGATCCCTCTTCCTGGGTAAAGGAATGCAGGATCAGGACTCGCCGACGAAATTAAGACTTGCCGTCGCATTTATTGCGGCAATTAATTGCAGGCCGAGTCGCTTCATCCGGTCCCGCCTAGCGAGGCACGAGCTGTAACATAAGCGCGAAGGCTGGAGAGACCCGAGGCCCGAGACCCGGGAGCCGGGGCCCCACGGCGGCACGGGCCCCGGGAGTTTCCATTAAAAGTTCCACGGTAGCTCGTCCTCTCCCGGTTAATTCGATCTCTCGTGGGGCCTTCGATCACCTTCGAACGGTAACGGTCTCGCGTGTGCGCACCCGTCTAACCGAGTTAAACGAACCAGCGAGATCGAGAGATCGAGGGATCGAGGGATCGAGGGAGACTCGTCCTAATGCCAAGGATAAGGAATTCTTTGGACTTACTGAGAGTCGAGAGCGAGAGAGAAGGATAGAGGCAGGTTCTCTCGGTGAGTACGAAGAGAGAAGTCGCGCGTAGAGAGGGCGTGCACCGTGTCCCCGGGTATCGGCTCAGGATTTATTCCCTCCGCAGGAGCCCACCCGATGGCCGAGCCAGACGAAAGCACGCGACGCATCCCCGTGACCGTGCTGCAGCCACGTCCTCCGCGTGCACGCGTGAACCCACCTACTCCGATGCTCCGTGAACGAGAGTCGGAGCGAGAAGAAATATCACTGCTGATAGGAAAGGCACCAGAGAGAGAGAGAGAGATAAAGAGAGAGAGAGAGAGAAAGGAAGAAGAAGAGAAGGAGGAAGAAAGAAAAAGAAAAGGAGAGATATGCGCGCCGGTACACACGTGTCCTGGATCATGGATGCAAATATGGCATAGTACCCTGGCCGCGCGGCTCGCGCCTGGATATATACCTACCTAGACAGTAATATGGGTAGGTAACTCAGGCGAGGTGGGTTGGGCCGCACCCTGTTCCTCAAGCATCCACCGAGCAGCAGACACACCAACGTCCGAGCGGGCCTTCGCGCTCACCTTCTCCTCGTAGAGTCTCGTACGCGTGACACCGACACCAGCAAGAGGACCGGGACCGAGAGAGCCAGCATCAGCCAGCATCAGCCAGCATCAATACCAGCGCGATCCTCCTCGCTGCTGGACGCGGAGGGCCGAGATGCGAGGTGAACGCCCCCCACAATATCTTAAATCCACGCTGCCCCGATGGTGCGTGCATGCGTGCGTCCAACACGCGTGTCCCTTTCTACGTCTCCTCGCACACCTTCCGACTACACGGTATCTCTGGTGCACCTACGTGAGACGGCTACACACATCCTCCACTCTCGGACTCACTCTAGCTGCTCTTTGCTCCATGTATGCACTCGGCACTCTCGCGCCTAGGTGGTAGACCGGCCCTGTCCACTTTTCCCATGGGAACAATACCCCATGGGATATAATAACAATGGTCACGGGCGTGGGAGTCGACTCGATCTTTATTTACCTCTTTTTCTCCCTGTTCGTCTTACTCTGCCCGCTCCTCTCATCTTCTTCGTCCCTCCACATCCTCCGCGTACTCCTCGTCACCTTCGAGAACCGATTTACGTCGCTCTAACCACGCGCTGTTTTCTGCCCGTTGAGATCTCAAAGGTGTTGACTCTTTCTCTGTCCGGTGTTAGGTCCTTGTCTATTAGTTCGCAAGGACTTCCTGTCCCTGGCAGAAGTCCCCTAAAATATGATGAAAGTTCCGGCTGGCGTTTCAGTCACTTGCGGAAGGATCAAGGAAGAATCACCGAAGGGAGGTGGAAGGATGCTTAGCCTCGGCTCAATGTCGACCGAAACTCCCGATTCTTCGCAGCCTTGGGAAGGTGGTGAAGGTGGCGACAGGGAGGGTTGCCAGCTAACAGGGAGCTACCGTCATTAGTATTTTTATCGATATAATCTGGCGCGGGGCTGCCGCAAGCGATATTGCGCCAGATGAGGAGCGGCTGGCAGCACTTGACTCGTGATTGAACGACATTTTCACAACTCCGTGTTGTCCCTGCAGCCTGGAGCGGAGTGGTTGGTGCGCGTGGGCGACCGGAAACTATCCCTCCCACATTCGGATGCCCTAACGTCGTGGGGAGGGATGCGTTCTCCGGCAGCGGGCCAGTTCCAGCCTCTGGGGAGGAGGACGCGGTGGAGGGAAACTTTTAGTAGACCCTTCCGAGCGAGGTTGACCTCGATCTTCAATTTGGGTATCGTCCTCCATTATGAGGACCTGGTACAAGGACTGCTGTCAGGGCCAACTTACGATACGCATAAACATCCAAAGATCAGTATCAGATCGGTGTTGTCAATGTTTGCTGTCGAGTGGCAGAGCTTAATGAGTCCTCGAGGTGCATTACCTTCTTTGAGGTAATCGAAGGTTAATGCGGAGGCGGCTCCTAGCGTGTTGCGCCAGGGGCACTTGACTTCTGAATCAAAGATTTTCACAACTCACTGAGACCAGGTTGACGCGTGGGCGACCGGAAATCATCTTTACCTCTACGAGAGAGCTGGACCCGGCCCTACCACCTTCGACGATGCCTCCTCTCCTAGGAGGTGCTACGAGTCTTCACCGTTCCAAAATCACATACTCGTTCCAGTAAAAGAGAGGCTGGAACCTGGAAGGGCCAGAGCAGGCTCCTTCGGATATAGAAAGGTGATGACCTCGATCCTACGCGGCGCACGCCGTTCTCGCCTGCTCGTTCTGCCTGTGATGCCTGCCTGCCTGCCTGACTGCCTAACTGACTGACTACCAGCCCCTTTGCCTCTTCACGCTGACTGAATGCCTGACTCTCTGCCCACGCTGCCCTTCTGTCAATTATATTTACTATTTCATTCATACTTGGCGCTACCTCGCCTGGTCCACCGAGGTCCATTCATGAGAGCGCACGCAACCAAGACAGTGGCTTCCTCGGGAGGAACCGAAATTATTCAATCTCTCAAAATATTACTCCTTTCGTTGATTCTACCGACTGCTGCACCGGAGAAGAAGGTGTTCCCGTCAAAAGGAGAATGTCAGTCCTCTTTAATATGGTAGTATCGTTAATAGAGAGGCATTCTGCCGGTTCGAGTGACGGGACGCTAAATATCACGCTCCTTGACTTTGTACAGGCTTTATCCATTATATGAGCAACAATTCTCTCTGTTAGTCAAATTTTGTGGTACTTTGAAAACCGATGGAGTTCACGCCCTGGTGCGGAATTGTGTGCCAGCTACTGGTCCACATAACTTTGTCTCCTGACTTGACACGTAGTCAGCGAGGGACCAGTTACCGCGACGATCATCAGGCACCGACTTAAGGTTGACGCTTGGATTTTGTTGTTCGTACACCAGAAACATGTAACGATGAATTCCTGTCGTCGAGGGTGGATCCGGTTCACGATAACAGAGGGTCGTCGCCACATTCTTCAGAAGCCCGTCCTGCAGCTCATTTCCAGGAATCTCGCTGAGTATTAGATGATTATGAAAATTTTCAGGTTGATAACCAGGTACGTCTGGATTCAGCATGAAGAGAACGTAGCTCTTGGAATATTTCGCACGTGGCATGCTCACCTGGACGTAATAGACATCACCTTTGACCTCCTCGAATAATAGATTTCAATACGTAATCGTATATATCTGAGGCATTTTCTTAAATTCATACTTATTTTGCATCGCGTTACAATTCTCATCCCGAACTGTCACATTAGCTACAGAAACAATTTCCAGTCCGCCAAATAAACAGGCACAGCTGATGTTCCTGGGATCGACTTGGGTACATTCCTGAGCCGAAATAAGCACGCAGTTTCCCAGGATCAATAAAATAGCTACAACATCTACTCCAGTCATGCTTAAATCTTCTATCAAAGGCTCGTTCTGAAATAAAGAATAAAAAATGATCTTTTTAATCCTTGGCCATCCGCCATTAAAGAAACATATGAGGAGCGAGTAAGAAAGATCCTTCAGTTCCTTTATCTTATTATATACACGATTCGCATGAACTCTTCCTTAACTATTTACTTACTGAATGAATTTGAATACTTTCCAAGGAATTTAATTCGAAAAATTGTATGATTACTTTGCCGCGGGTCCACAGAAGTTATCATCAATGTATTGAAGACTCCTGAGGATATATCAAGTCGCTCATTCATTCAGTATTCACAGTTTCATTCATGCTCTTGGCTGGGCGAGAAAGTTGCTTTGCTCAACGGGCTCTGATGTGAGCAGTGAGCGTCGACTACAATTAATCCTACGCAAAGTACATCGCTGCGGGAAATGAATGGAGCCAAGCGGAATTCTCAATGGGAGACCAGAGACTCGATATCGCGGGAAATTCATATTTTTACATTAAGAGACGCACAAGGTCTTACGTGAGGATTGCATTAGCATAGCTTGAGGCTATTCGCGCTACTGTGACATCGGTCCTTATTCCTTCGTTCAATATTTAATTTAAGCAGCAGCATAAGTATTAATGCGCTTCGGCTGGCAACATATAATGGCGCCATCTTACGTTCTTCTTGTAAAATGTATTCTGCGTCATCCGATGGTACGATCTGTCTTGGTCCATTGAAGTTCCCACCAAAAATTCTTACGGCATGTGTACCTTACTGTTTTTGATTCGCTGCCCGATCAGCTGATCAGTTATGGAGACTTCTGCCTTGAACGTGGTGAGTAGCTATTCTTTTTTAGCTCTTGAACGATATCTCTTGCGTTATTAGTATAAGCCCCTGTGACCTTTGTACTTTACGGTAACTCAAAACGTTTGAGGATTCGATTTTTGGCAACTGTATCTGGATGACACTCGAGCGTAGACTCTCTATTTACGTATTCATTGGTAAATATTCTAAACGTATTTGGGTCCACTGGTTTATATGCTGTTGCATCGTTCAAAAATTGGAATTTTACTGGCAGCTATTTCGTTTTATGTTATTTACTTATACTGTGAGAATTTTCAATTGTTTGTTTAGAGAGATCGATGTAAAGGAATTTTGTTTTTATCTGAAGGCACACGAGAGGCAGAGACGAGCTGAAGCACTTTTAAAAGAAAGGAGGTTCGAAGAGGCTGCTGAGTGTCATGAAAAGGTAGCTAGTCTCCTTGAGGAAGTTCGGGCACAGATAGAAAACAATTTAGTGGATCTTCGTACTTCTAGTACCTCTAGTCAAGGTTCTGGTTTTTTCGTCAATTCCCTTTGCTCATTAGTTACTAGAGAGTCCTTGATTCTTCAGAGGGATTATCACGAGAGACAAGCTGCAGTAGTTAGGTATGTATTCAATCTGAGAAATCTAATTTTGATTCAATACTGGTAGTTATTTTAATTACAGAATGAAACAAGTACAATATGAGGAATATAAAGCAAGTCTGGAGATTCAGCAGCGGGATCTGCTGGGCAAACAAGTAAATAATCAGTTGGAGAAACCTAGTTCCGATGTGCTTGTTCCTGAGAAGATTGAGGGTTCCCTACGACATGCCATTTACAAAACTATCGCAGAACAAGATAGTCTTCTTGTTGGTCTGCTGTCACTACCGGAAACTGATAGTCAGTACTTTAAACATCCCAAGGATTCGGGTGTTATAATAGAAGAGTTACGATGTGTCAATGGTCAACTTCGTTCTCTTGTAGAGAGTCTGCTACTTGAATTAGATTCTAAGGAGAAAGAAGTACGTCATTTGAATGAAAAATTAAGGGCAGTGTCTATAAGTCCCAACGAAGAGTCATCTCCAGAGGATCCAAATTCCTTAGATCTTGCATCACTTCCTCCATTAGTTCCTTTGGATATGCCTCTCTTTGATTTTACGTCATCGTAATTCATGCGCTTCTGCCTTTGCACCCAAAAAACTCATTCATTCTTGTGACAAAAAAGCTAATTTGTAAGACTATTTTATCATAAACATAGTGAAAGATCATAATATTAGATTATATACTCCATACACGACGATTTTAAGTTTATCAATCAAGAATGGCTATTGGGCTATAAAAAAATCGTTCCTTTCTGAATGATATTGTACAAAGAAATTCGTATAAAAACTTAGTATAGAGTAACATTCATCAAGACTGCATCAATTAACGTGCCCTTTACACGATATCTTTTTTTCGGTTGATATACATAAATCTAATAACATATCAATTTTATCATACTATTCATTGTTCTGTTTATATAGTTTTCCTTTTTGCACCGCAATTAGCAGACAAGCCGAATAATTCTAGTTACTCAGGTCGATAAGATCTCTGTTGTTCTCCTTAATTGTTGACACTGTACAGCATCGTAAATAGTCTCTCTGTCGATGAAATAGAAATTTATATTCACTGCCATTTTTAAATCTCTGCTCCTACGTCAGCAGACTAATTATAAGTAGGCAGTGATCCTTTTATTATTATTATACATCAATTCGATCACAATGTAAATACAATATTAATTTCATCAATCGATAGCTAATAGCACCTTTACATTGCAAAAGATTATTTTATCTCATTCGATGTATCATCGTGATCTATAACAGGTGGCTTTTTATAATTCATATAAGAAAATAAAAGTAGGGATTACGCTAAAAAAACACCTGATCGCTAGCTGCACTTTTAGCAGATTCTACGAGGACAATCTTAGAAAAACAACCTGCATTGTTACGTGTGTGGAAACTTGTGAATAAAATGAGAACATTTTTTATCTAAGCTGCGTGTGAATTGAATAACTTTTAGTAGAGCATATAGAATCACTATATTAGGGTTCTTTGTCCTTTAGCATAAAAATCATCTAGAACCGATAGTTCTGTTTACTTTCAGAATACATGTGCCATGATTTGTTAAAGTGTAAAAATTCTCAACATTTTTGACTAAATGATAAATTTATAATTACCGACCTCAGATATCAGCACGAAACGAAATTATTATTTAGCTACTAGAGCAGATGGCGTTAAATTGGCGAAATTGGGGTGTTCGCAAACTCATCATCCTAAAAGAGAATTTGTAATGAACGATCTGGCACTTGGCCCTCTATGAGGGCATAAAGCCAAAAAGGAAAAAGAAGAAGAAGTAATGGACGATGATACATTTATACCGGATGGCACTTTCATAAATTCATGCGACTCATGGACTTTGCCAATATCACGCGTAGTATCACTAAAGGTGGCTTCTGCGTCTTTTGACGCTTTTATAGGAATATATTTGGAACGCATTGGAGAGCGGACACTTGGGGAGTCCCGATGGCCTTTGTGGCATAATTGCGTCTGATGCGTAGATCTTGCGTCCTTATGTCAGTATCAGTCAGTATATACGCGCAAGAGTGAGGACGACATCGTAATAATTGCGTTGAACCGCGAGTCGAGTCGTGACTACGAGCAGTCTTCAAAAGTTTATAGTGCCAAACAGCCTGAGAAATAAAAGAGGCATTTAAAACTACGTGTATGCACGGGAAACACTAGACTCCATTAGACAGTATACCAGGAACGAATAATCAGCTACGTTTCTGTGTGAAAGCTGAGAAGAACATCTGAGGATCTTTGTAATCCCCAGCAGTATTTTCAGTTTAGCGTTTAGAATCAAAATTGTACCAAGCATTCATGGAGTTATACAGAAGAGTCCTGTTCTGAGTGTAGGTTTCTGATAGAAGTCATTCTAAATAATTATAAACAGTTTGTAAGGTTAATCAATTGAATCTTTTATAAGTGAGATAGAATTTTTGTTCTAGCAAGGGTTTCATTGTCGGTAGAGGTTAGATGTGAGGAAAGAAGACATTTAGTCCAAATTATTTAATGTACACAACATAGAATGCTCTGCTTGTGCAGTGTTGTGTAGCTGGGAACCTATTCCCAAATCGTGCTATGAATTTATGGTGAACTAGAATTATAACATGATTGTATCATTGGTCATTTTAAACAGTTTCTCTTAGAGCCAGGAAATATTTCGTTGGAAAAGATTTTCAAGGACCAATAGTACAACAATGCTATAATTCCTATGTTCTACAAATTTGTAGCGGAATTCGGAAATATGTCCCGTGAAGGACACCGCACTTACGTAGCATTCTCAACGTGGAATAATTTGGAATGTGGTCTCTTTTCAATTCTCGATCTGTAGCCGCTTGTAAAGGAAGCTTATCTTCACCAGTGGGAACAAATAAATAAAGAAGAAAAAGAATTACTGAAGAATGCCGTCAAAGCAGAGAAAAATAGCCATTATGGGTTACAGATCCGTAGGTGAGTTGTAGTTGCACATGCATTTTCTAGTAACTGACTAAAAACATGGGTGTTTGATTCCTATCCTTAGTTCTGACATCACAGGCAATGCACGCTCATTTATATTTTTTTTTGTCTTACAGGAAAGTCTTCACTCAGTATACAGTTTGTGGAGGGACAATTTGTGGACTCTTATGACCCTACGATTGAAAATAGTATGTTATCTCAGTACAATATTTTGCAACCGATGAGCTTGTATTTATGATATACTTCAGTCTTTGGGGTATAACTTATGTTTTCGTTTTGTACTACAGCATTCACAAAGAGCACACGGGTCAACAGCCAAGATTATGAGGTAAAGTTAGTCGATACAGCTGGTCAGGATGAATACAGCATTTTTCCTACACAGTACTCCATGGACATTCATGGATATGTTCTGGTCTACAGTATAACAAGTGCAAAGAGTTTTGAAGTTGTACAAACCATATACGATAAGCTGCTTGATATCACAGGCAAAGTCCAGTAAGTTTCATTTTGATATGTTTGCCAATTTGTATTGTATAATAATTTGACTAGTTTGATTAGACATTCTTGTGAAACACTAATATTAAAAAAACTTATTTATTACAGCGTTCCAATTGTTCTTGTTGGAAACAAGACAGATCTCTATGTGGACAGGATGATTTCCACGGAGCAGGGAAGACGTTTAGCAGATTCATGGCACGCAGCTTTTCTAGAAACCAGTGCAAAGCAAAATGAGGTGCTTACGATTAACTAATACCATGCATCGATACGTTGTAATAACTTCTAATATCGCAATTGTTTGCTTATGATCCGTTTCAGTCGGTGGCCGACATTTTCCATACGTTATTGATCGAAATTGAAAAGGCGGACGGTAATGTACAAGAAAAATCGAACTGCGTCATCTCTTGAACTTGGTTAGCTAGGCCCTTGCTACAGTACGGAACACACTTTTATTGATGTATTCGTGATGTATTAAAAGGCGATATATTTTTATGACTGTTTAAGTTGATAAGAAAGATCAATATTCCATTCGATATGCTTTCGACCGGCTACAAAAAATGCGTCGATTTTGTAAGATCTGTTACATAATTCTGTGAAGGGCATATTTTATTATTAGTAAAAAGGTCAGAACGGTGCATGCAATATGATAGTTTTACTGAAAACTTGCATCTCTTATCGCACGTGCATCCGCCTCGAGTCATAATTTATCAGTGTGATGACAAACAGCGTTCTTTTTTAAAAATGAGTCAATTATCGTTTCGATCGAACAATTTTATGATGCAGCATGAATATTACTACGATAAGATATCCTATAATAAGCAATAGGCAATATGCAAGTTTCGTAGTCTGTTAAGCTCGGGGTAGACAAAGTCTTGTGTTTTCAACCCCTTCACTTCTCAACAGACCTTCTATCAGAGACAAGAAATCAATTTATCGCAACTCATCGAGACCAAAAGAAAGCTAGATATCCGTTCTGTAAGGAATGTGACGAGTCTACTTCGATTTTGTTGATCAAATACAGACTCTGATAATAGTATACAGATACATTTCTTACTTCAGTAAGTACTTTTACTTTGATACGTTACGTAACTGCTAAATATCTTGACGTTTAATTGTCCTAGTTTGACTTACCATAGATAAATAAATAAAATTCAGCAAATTAAAAAGCATTTCTACGCATACTTATGTATATTGTAGTAACGTTGATGGTTATCATCACCTATGATAACTGATAGTGAATTCTTTTGTGAACATGAAAGATACCATTTATTTATAATTTTCTGTTCTTGACGTTGTTGTCGGGACAAACAAGTTTACATAGAAAGGACACTTTGAATAAAACGGAACTGCCAATCGTTAGCAGGTTCAAAGATTATACACAAAATTGGATTGTTACAATATATATTAATCACCTTTGCCGCTCATCGTCATTCTCTCTTTCTTTCCAATTACTTTTTTTAACTTTTACAGCGTTACATACGATCATATAGGACAGTAGAAACATGTTGAGAATTGCGAAGAGTACCCACGACGTCTTACGATATAATATATATGTATAGTATATATACTATATAAATATACACGTATGCAACTTATGTAATGTACATATAGATGTATCACCGACTAAGCATCTCACATAAATTGAAAAGGATGCTTAATCGTACCAGAACATCCACCATTCTCCATTCCTCCTACCGCCGCCATCGTAATTATCGATTAAAAGCTACCGTGTAATCTAGTAAGGTACAAACAGGAGTTTTTTTTTTCACTTTTACAGGCGGATAATATTAAGCTCAGGTTTTTACTTAAATCTACTAAACTAGAAAGGGGAATAAGGGCGTCGCGACAGCCTCGCGTCAAGCTCAGCCTCTCGAATTGACATGAAATTCTTGGCAAGTAGGGAGAAAACGAGTCGCGAGACGGCCGACCCTAAGTAGCGCCATTTTTTTCCTTACAGAGGAAGAGGAGTTTTTGAGGCGCGCGCTTTTTTCAAGTTGACTTTTTGAGGTTCCTTCATCGCATACGCGCTTTCCCATTCCCATAATTACTGGATCGATAAGTTACCGACAGTACGAAGAGCGTCAGTGATCTTATAAAGAAAATTTTTATAATATTAAACAAAATGGAGTATGGAAAAGAAATGAACACTAAGTAAAAAGTCATGTCAGCGAAAATCGCGCGCCTTTTGCCACAACCACGTTGGTGGCAGTGGCAATGTCATGCAAAAGCGGGGGATGTTAATTATTGAGCAAGATACTAACGCTTTTTTTTCATTCCTAGCTAGCGGACTAATAAATTACGTTTATTGTAATACGCATTAATCATTAGAGCGTGCGCGGACTGCCTTTCTGAACGTAATGACGCCGCCATTACTGTCTCGAGATCTTTTGACATTTCATCATCATGCGAGAACCTGCTTAGGAATGAAGAAGAAGAAAAAAGAGAGTGTTCTCGTGATTATACCAAAAGGAGAGAGACGGATAGGAACAAAAAAATAACAGACTAGTGAACTTATATTCTCAAGTCAATTTAAGAAATAGTTACGGCGACGTAATTAGTCAGATTTGAAATCTCAATAGAAAAATTAAACGATTCACAGCTTTAGCAAGGATTACAACAAAATTATAATAAAATGGCAGTCACACGCTTCACAGATGCCTTAGAGCGAACAGGTCTTTTTATAATCGGCGTTCCGTTCTCGAGTTTACAGCCTAATTCGTACAACACGTGCGCCCAAGTCACGGCTAAAGGTAGGTACAGAATTATTGACAATAATGACGGATCTACTATAATTAGGTACAGTTTGTGCACAGTGGTCGTTGTGTCGCAAGAATGTGAAACGGCGTTTTGTCAGTGGACGCAAGTCGTAGGATATTTGCTTTTTCGTTAATTAACACGTTTCTCGCTTCGAACGATCAGTCGACATTACAATATTTCTTTGTCCTTTTGAATATTAAATATCCGATGTGCACAAGAGTATAGAAGGATTTTTTCTTTTTTTTTTCTACCACAGCCCATTTAACGATATCATTATATATATATATATATATTATAGTAATTATTATATATGATAATTAGTAAGACATACGTGTATGTATACGTTTAACATAATATACAAAAAAAACCATGTTAGCTCTCTTGCTCTCCAAGTTTTCAAGACTTCAAAAATTCACTCTCACGACACTCATCGTTTAATTGATTAATTAGCAGTATTAATTGCACGCTGTCTGTTTCCTCTATTGGAAAGTAGCCGGGTGCCATCGTCAAGAGGAACTAGATGGACGCTTCGCCATTTTTTTTGTTTAAACAATCTTTCCAAATCCTTCGTGGAAAATTTATTGTATCGCGTGGATCTCGATTACTGTCTAAGGATCACAGCCTAAAAAAGTGTCTACCGAATATGAATCGAGGATCGATTGATCGATCAAATCGATAGGAGAGATCTTCCCGTGAGTGAATCAGTAAATCGTCGTGATCGCTACGTTCGCTCTTGACAAAATTCGGAAACCGACAACGCCAAGACGCAAAGCGGCGAAAAACAAATGAAGAATGCAAAAGATATATTTCAAAGAGTCTCGACTGCGTCATCCTAACACGGTATATATCTGGAGCTGAAATTCTTAAAGTCTTCGAATCGTCTTGATAAAGTCAATTATCAATAAATACCAAGTAACGCTCCTCGAGCCGAAATTAATAGTCTTTGTTACACTAAGGAAGAAGGTCAAAAAAAAAGTTCGGCAATCAATGGAGAGCATATCTTGTTAACCTACAATCTACTAGCACATTTTTTCCCCTTATCACTACACACCGACACGACGTCTTCTTGCCTTTCCCGTATCTACTTTATAGTAATATGGACGACTAAACTGCTAACGCGTGAAAGAATTAAAAAAAAGAGGAAAGACGCGTCTAACGTCTTGAACGTTGGGCATTTTCTTTCTCACTTTCTCTGGTATAAAGGACGTTAATAATATACAGGACCAAAGTGCTCAACGCGAAACTAAAAATATCGAATATTCTTCGCGGAAGCTCTCGCCGAGACTGCAGGTTGTGTCTAAAACTGTCTTTAAAAAATAAGAAGCAGCAATTGTTAGTTGAAAAACGGAAGGGAAAAAAAAATAAAAGTCACTTGGGAAACAAAGTAAAGAAAATAAGAAATGACCACATTCGTTCCTCTTGATTTGCCAAACGATCGGAAAAATATGCGAATCGACGTAGCAGCACTAGCAAATTCACGTTCATCCGATAAAGTGTGCTCGCGTCCTTAAAGAAATTTGAAAACTTGTATTTTTCCCGCGCTAAGAACTGCCAATGCGGTACCAATCGCACAAGCGCGACGATCGTTACTTTTTAAAATGCATAACCATACGAGTTCCTTCGCTCGCGAGGAAAGAAAAAAAAAAAAAAAAAAAAAAAAACCACAC